CGGTTTATAAGAAGGAACGGCTGGAGGGCTATTTTTGGGAGTGAAATGACGTGAAATTGGCTGGATTTTTTAGTGTTTTTGGAAAAGTAGGGGTACTTAGGGTACCAAAATTGATAGTACTAGTAGGACTATGTTATTGTTTGGTACATATTTTGTAAAATTTGTTAGTAGCAGTAAAAATGGCAAAAAAACTTACTTGACTTACATCAAAACTTTTTTTAACAGGGTCCCCTGTGGATATTTTTAAAATAAAAATTCAAAAAAAATTAAATTTACGGCATATATGTTCTAAAGAGCTTACAAAGCCCAAAAAGTCTTATACAAAACCAATTTTGATATCAATGATAGCCAAAACTTTTTTATCATTGTACGAACATCAATGATCTTAGAGTTCCGCAGCTTATCATTACTTTTGCAAACTTTGAGCGGTGTTTACATAACATAATATAATCATGAGGCTAATAACGGTTTTCAAAAGGTTTTTTATTTATGTTATTGATTTTTAAAAGATTTATATTTTGGGTTTTTTGGCCGTTTGGCTTCGTATGGACGTGTGGAGACTTTTGCTTTTGATTAATACAGGGTGCGCAGAAAGTTCTGTTACACGGTTTTTTAATCAAATATTTTTTTAACAACAAATATAACTAAAACAACAACTAACACTAGTAACATATAGTACTAGTTATAACATATTTTTCAAAGTGGGCCCCTTTTGCGGCTTAAAACGACTGGTAAAGTTTTGTAACAGAACTTTTTGCGCACCTTGTATTAAGTGTATATCAGGGTAAGGCAAAGTATGGAAGGGTAAGACAGGGTAGAGAAAGTTGTGTAGGGTTGGTTGAAGCATAACAAAGGCAGGGCAGAGTTATTAGGCAGAGAAGGGTAGAGCACGGCAGGGAAGTGTGGGATAAGGACGTGTCAAATGTTTCTCCTGTAGAATTTTTTAAGTATTTTCGTCAAATTTCTTATACTCAAGATACTAAAAATGATAGTAATTGTACTACTGATTCTATCTTAGCTACTGGAACATATATTTTAATAAGTTTGCGGTACTAGTCAATTAAACTGTCAAAAAACTTGTTTGACGTCAAAAAGTTCAACAGGGTTCTATTTTTGAAAAAGTGGTAGTACCAAGAGTACTAAAAGTGATAGTACTGGTACTACTAGCACTATGTTGTCTTTTGGTACATATTTTATAATATTTGTTAGTAACAGTTAATTAAAAATGGCAAAAAACTTGGCTTAAATCAAAAAATTTAACAGGGTCCCCCCCCCCCCTTCTCTGTAGCCTTTTTTAAAACTAAGAAAAAATTTTTTTTATTACCAAAATTTAAGAAAAAACAGAAAAATAAGGTATTAGAATGACCATCTAAATTTAATTGACAACATTTTTCGACCGGTCGTTGCAACATCCGCCGGGGAATCAGCTGTCAATACGAGCGTAATGTGCTCTAATTTCCCGCTCCGAATCCGCAATAAAATTAAAAAACAAATTTGTTGTGAATCGCGATGGAATGTGGATTCGCATTGGAAAAAAAACTGCCTGATTTACATTTTTTATGTCTCAAAAATTTTGTCGCTCATTTCGGGCGTTGGAAACACGGTTAAAACATGTAAAGGGAAAGGTTTATGAGGGGGTGATGACTAAACGAATGGATTATATTTTGAGGGTTGATTTTAGGTTAGGGCAGGGGAAAATGGGGTGGATTATGATTGGTTGAGGTAGGGAAGAGTTTGGTAGGGCAGGACAAAATAGTGTAGATTAAGGTAGGTTAGAGCAGGGTAGGGCAAATGAAGGGTAGATTAGGGTAAGTTGGGGTGAAGTAGAATAAGGCAGAGGGTAACTGAGGGTTTGAGTATGAGAAAGGAAGGATAGGGTAGGGTAGGATGAGATAATATAGAAAAAGTTAGGTCAGGTTAGCATAGGATAGGCTAGAGTTAGACATGAGAAACGGGACGGGCCCATTTTTCAGGCTTGGCCCAATCTAAATTTTGCTCACGCCCGGCCTCGACTTTTTTACGTGTAAACGGGCCAGGCCTTGATTTTCAGGCCCGGCACGACCTAAATTTGGGTCAAGGCCGGCCCGATGGTAGGCCCGGCCCGTTCCTCATGCCTAGTTAGAGTAGGATGAGATTTGGTAGAGTAAGAAGGTAAAGTAGGGCAGATAGTTAAGGTAGGGTAAGGCAAGGAAAGGCATAGTAAGGGAGGTTGGATAGGGCAAGGTAACATAGTGTAGGGTATGGTATTGTAGGGTAGGGTATAGTAGGTTAAGACCATGTATCAAGCTATCTATCGCTCGTCTTTTTGATGGCATCTTTGTTGTTAACGAACCATCTAGTTTGATCGTTTTAACGGTCAGTGAACAGCGTCCAGGTGTCTACGTTGTAAGAAGACCTCCCACTGATAATAGCTGTCTTTACATGTCGATTTTTTATAATATATATTACTTACTTTGCTTTGTTTTGACGTTAATATTGTATTACATTTTACCCCCGTAATCTGTACCACCTCCTTCTCCTACACCTTTTCCATCGCATCACTCTTAAAAAAACAAAAATTCCTCCGCCATGCCTCAGACGGAACAGCAAATCCCGTAAAAGGTTATGAGAAACGGCCTTGAGTCGCCCCCCCCTCCCTCCGCTGATTTTTGCACTTTTTTCGTTCGAATCGGGTATGTTTTGCGCTGACTCATCCGTCACAAAAACAAACTCCCCTGCCTCTAAATGGGGGTTTTCGACAAAACTTTTACCATGAGGGGAGTTCCTATGTGTATTCGGATTTACATTTTCGAGGGGGGAGGGGAGAATTTGGCGCAATCAACGGCTTCTAATGGGTTCGAGAGGTGAAGACAGGGGGATTTGAGGGCTTTTTTGCTGAATTTTAAGCTTTTAATTGATATCTTTAAACGTATTAGGTGCCGACATAAAGAACCCGCCATACTTTTCCTGTAATTTCGCGTAAAAATGGCGGGTTCTTTATGTCGGCATTTAATAAAATACGAGTATCTGGTTAGGCCGATGACTTAAGGGGGTGAAAACAAATGGATTTGAAGGTTAGGTCCCAAGTTCAACAATTTTGCAAAAAAAATTTTTTTTTGGATTGCGATCCATCGGCTCTGTAAGAGAGAGATGGATTTGACCTCAGTAACACTCCTTACCCCCTCCATACCCCCTAACGACGTCCCTGGCCAGGAGATAGGGTAAAAGGTATTTTTCTAAATTACCCACATATATTTATAGCCCTACGTTTCATTTTCCAACCAAAATAACCTTCAAAGCTGAACATTAGCTTAAAGCCCATTACTTTACTGTTACTCCTTTCTTCTCTCCGACCCCCCCCTAACTCAACGAGCTTATTATTCATCCCTCATTAGACTATTTTCGAATCGGATTAGCAATTCGTCTGTTTTTTATTTACTCTCCTAACCGTATTATACTTTAAAACGAACTGTTTATGCTTTTACTGTCTGAAATACTACATTCCAGGGTATAATCAACATCAAACCGTCTATATTGGTCTAGATATGAGCTAGGTTTCTGGAAATTTTTGGGTCTTTTTAGGGGTTTTTGGATAGTTTTTGTAGTTTTAGTTCTTGTTATTATGCTTTTGACTCTTGTTTTTGTACTTTTAGTTCTTCTTATTGTAGTTTTATGTCTTGTTGTTCTACTTGTCGGTCTTGTTATTACACTTTTAACTCTTGTTGTTGTACTTTCAGGTCCTCTTAGGATCTTTTAGTAGTATTATCTTGTGGTTGGGCATTTGTTTTTGTACTCGAAAAAGGGTTTATACTAATATTGGGATTGGTTTGTGTGTTTTGGAGCTTATTTAGGCGAGGTACAGCTGTTTTCTTAGACTTTTATGTCCTATATTATTGTTTTGATACTGTTTTTGTACTCTGAATTTTGTTCCGGGTGTCCTTGGTGATCTTTTTTGATATCTTTAGAGCTTTATATTGTGACAAAATTACTGTTTTTAATATTTTTGCGGCATTTTTTGATGTTTTAGTACTATTTTTTGTAGTTTAAAGCCGTTGAAATGAAGAGATACTGTATTCATGACATCTTCTACCCCCTTTAGTAGTATTTACTAAGGTTTTAAGAACTCATATCGTCTTTTGAATACTGTTTTTACTACTTTAGAGGACCTACCTTTATATTATAGTACAGATTTTGATAATAAAAAGCAAAAATTTCAATTCAAAAGTTCAAAAAACTTATATTAACCCTATAATACTTCCAAAACAACCCCCAAACCTTTACAAAAAACCGGAAAAGCACAAGCTTATGTATACGAAAACCCCCGCCCGTTAGCCTAAAACTTTGCGTGCGAAACGCTTAGTCATCATTGTTTATATACTGTTCTTTTATTGTCCCCTTCACGTCGCCAAAACCACTCTGTTTATGATAATTTAACAATTTCTGAAGCAGATGATTCTAATTTGCTTCCTTGGGGACGTGGAAAGAAGTTAAAATTGAATTCGCAAAGTGTTGTTCATGATGTTATGTTACATTTTGATGGTTTTTGAAAGTTTTATGGGGGCCAGTTGTCCATCTTGGTTTAAAATAGATAGTTATGGCTCAGTGTATGTAGAGTTATATGAATTTAGGTTGTTATAGTTAATGGGACTCTTAAATTTTTTAAAATTAACCAATTAACCTTGATTTCCTTGAAAAATATTGATGTACCTTGACTTCAAGCTGATATAACTATGTCGGACTTAGCTATTTTAAGGAAAGTTGTATTTAAATTATTCAAAAATAAATACTGTTTCTTATAAACACCACTTCCAACCATAAAAACTTGGTTACAACATCGAATTCAACAATTTTCCGCAAAACCCACCAATTACACCTAAAATAATATAATCCTTTGTCCAAATCCGCGTGATCTTTAACCAATACGAATTACCCTATTTTCCGTTTCGAACCGACTCTTCGTATACCTCAAAACAAGCGCAAAAACCCGTCTCTAATATTTTGCCATTTTAGGGAATGCACCAATGAAGTTCTTTTGCGTTCCGTTGTTCGCCTGCAAAGGCCAACTGGTCGAGGCCTTGGATTATAGCCAAAAGAAGCTGACCGACGTGCCGAAGGAAGTGATCAAGGCCAAGAAGACGTTGGAGGAACTGAATTTAAGTGTGAATTCGATTGAAACGCTGCCACCGGTAAGGGAGACGATATGTTTTAGATTTTGGACCAAATTTCTATAAAATGTGTCAACGATGGCCATATTTTTGTACATAATAAATCTATTTTTTGAAATATATTTAAAATGTGTTGTAAAATACGATGCGTCTACCCGAGTTTGCAAATTTTTAACTTTTTCTTTATTTTGGAGCTGTCAACATGACACATTTCGTAGAATTAATTTCTGTAAATTAAGTCACCGCTCACGGTTTTCGCGGTAATTATTGACCAAGTTTCACGAAGCATTTTATTGTTATACCTAAAAGCAATTTCAATTTACAAGTTTTAAAGATTTCACTACTTTCTTTAATTTTAGCTTTGTCAAAATGACGGATTTTCTAAAATGTATTGGTTCTTTCTATTTTTAAAGAGAATAACTTTATATTTCTTCAGGAACTGTTCAAATGCATCAGGTTAAAGAAGCTGGACATCAGCGAGAACAAAATAAAGAATGTCCCGGATGAAATAGATGAACTCACCGACCTTATGGTCCTGAATTTGAGCAAAAATGGTAAGGTTTTTGAGTGTTTTTCTTGAATTTTAGGTGTTTGATGGATAAAACTTGGTTTGAATGGGTATAACTTGAGTTTTTAGTGCTTTTGATAATTTATTAATTGTGTTTTACATAATGGTTTAATAAAAAAGTTGGTTTTCTTAATTTTTTCGCGAGGATATAACTGATATTGTTGTAGATCCAAGCAATTTTTCTATAGCTTTTTGTTTTCTTCTTATTTTTGCTTGATTTTTGATTCGAAACAACGTCTGTAATGTCTTTAATGGTTTAAATTAGCTTTTAAGTCAATTTTGAGAACAAAACTTAAAAATAAAACCAATATTATCTTACCCTACCTCAATCAAACTTCAGATTTGATGAACCTTCCGGAGACGATAGGAAAATGTGTGAATATGGTTTCACTGAATCTCAGCAACAACATGTTGTCACTGTCAAAGTGTGTAATGAATTTGACACAACTCACATCACTTAACATATCAGAAACTGCTACCGCAGCTTTGCCGGCTGAAATTGATCAACTGGTGAACCTTCAACATCTCGATGCTTCACAATGTGACATGTCTTGCTTGCCTAACTCTATTGTCAGGTTGAGCAAGTTGAAGGTTTTGGATTTGTGCGAGAATCACATTACTGAGTTGGTATGTTTTGTTTTTTTTTGTTGTTCGTGTTTAGGTGATAGAGATAGTCATGGATAATATAACGTTTTGATGTCTGAAAGTTAGGGAACGGGTTTAAGTGGTATATATGTATTGTAACAGAGTTTGTAGAAGGTTTTGCGATTTATTTCCGTCGGTTTTTTTAATAGTAGCAGCTCAGGAATAGAACTTGGTGTTATACATGGTTGTCATTAGATGGTTATGTATAATATCAATTTTTGATGGTTTCTGATTGAGGTATCATTCTGATTAATTTATATAAGTTGTAGGATTATCTTACGAAGATTTTAGAATTAGTTTTGATCAGTTTTAATCAATGATTTTGTTTTAGCCAGAACGAATGGACAACCTAGTTTCATTGGAAAGTCTGGATCTTCGTACCAACTTTCTGACTCGAATCCCAGAATCTTTGCTACAATGTAAAGAACTTCAAACATTGGATTTGTCACAGAACAGTCTTACCTCATTACCAGAGGATTTGGGTGATTTGGACAAAATGGTCGAGTTGGTGCTATGCGAAAACTCGTTACCTGAGTTGCCAACTTCAATTGGAAACATGAGGCGGTTGGAAGTGTTGAAGGTGACGAAGAATAGTTTGACCAAATTGACACCGTCAATTTGTCGTTGTGTCAATCTGACTGATTTGTATTTGGGACATAACTTGTTGCAGGTAGGGTTTTGTTTGGATTTTTCTTGTTTTAACGCTGTTCATATGGTTCTAAAGTCGTTTTTTACAGGTTGTAAGCTATTTTATTAGGTCTATGTGCGATTTTTAAATGAACACTGTTTTAGGAATTGCCCAGCAGTCTTGGAAACTTGAATAAATTGAGGTTCTTGGACGTGAGTGGCAATCGTCTTGAAGCTGTGCCTTCAACGGTAAGATTTTTTTGGTTTTTATGATTCAGCTCTATTTTATATTGTTTTTTAAATTTTTTTGATCAGGTAGGCTTATTAATTTGCATGAAATTTTATTTTGTGGGTCTGAAGTGTCAATTTTGATCAGAAACATGGTTTCTTAGGCCAACTATGGGTCTATTAGGTTGTATAATAAGTAATGAGTTACTGAGCTTTATATAAATTATGAGAAATAGCTTTTTATTTTTAATAAATCCTAATAAACTGAGGTTTGTAGTCATTTTCAGCTTAAATTTTGGTCAAAATAATGTTTTTATCACCTTTTGTGTAAATATTCAGATGATTTTACCTAATACTCAAACTTTCAGATAGGAAACTGTTGCTCATTAGGCGTTCTAGCACTTCGCGAGAACCAAATAACCGAATTGCCGATGGAAATAGGCAAGCTGGCTCGCTTAAGAGTACTAGATGTAGCCTTCAACAGACTAAATCATCTGCCATATACGGTTAAAGTGTTGGAGGATCTACAAGCTCTATGGTTGTCAGTAAAACAACCCCCACTACCGCATTTGCATACCATTGATCTGCCGAACAAAATCAAAGCCCTCACTTGCTGTTACCTACCTCAACTTCCAGACAAAGGCATACCTATTGTTGGGGATCAGACTTTGGAGAATGAACTTAGTCGTAGGTTGATTTGTGGTTGTAATGAGACTGAATCTTGATTTTGAATAAGATTGAAAATTCAAAAATATTTTAAAAATATTTTTAAAAATTGAAATTTTTTTAAATTTATGTTTTTTAAGCTTTACCCTTTTCAGAATACGGCAAAGAAGCCAAATCTATGGCCAGAGGCCCACGAGTCGTCTTCTCCAGCTCTGGAGCCGATGCCACATACGATGATGAGGATGAAAGTCAATACAAGCTTGGTCTTCAACGATACGACACTCCTCACCCCAAGCCATTTGCCCCCAAGAACAGAATGAACAAGAGTTTAAGTAACTCAGCGAAGGATCCGGATACTTCAGCTGAAAGTCAGGTAGGGTAATATTTGTTAGATATAGGAAAGAAGAGGTATATAAGGTGGTATTATAATAGTTATCAGGTATAAAGGTGTATATAAGGTGAGTACTCTAAGGTTAAAAATAAATTTTGTCTTTCGTTTCAGTCCGAAACCCGTCCACTTCGCTCGGTTCTCAAGAAACGACCAGTCTCCCAGCACGCCGAATGTCAGTTGACTGAGGAACGTGGAGACCCAATCACGATCCATCGTGACCACAACGGCCTGATCGGATGGACAATCATGGGCGGATTGAAAGGAGAATTCTACAAAAATGTCGAAGGCATCTTCGTATCCTACGTCGTACCGGAAGGTCCGGCTTCAAAAGCCGGAATCCAAGCCGACGATAAGATTCTGTCCGTGAACGGCATCACAATGAGGGATCTGAGTCACGGTGACGCGATCAAAATCCTGGAAGATGCCGGCGAGCAGTTGGAACTACGAATCGAACGAATTCCCTTCGAGACCGATGAGCCAACAACCATGGCTCCAATGATACCTGAACTGGAGGCTGCACCTCGACCTCCCTCACGATCCGGCTCGGTTATTGAGTTCGAAATGGTTCAAAGTGGAAACGACGCGGCTGTTTCACAAGGAGGTCAAATTTTAGATATCAATAAGGGACAGAATGCTGGAGCTCAAGCTGGTATTAACGGTCAAGTAAGACTCAATGGAGTGCAACATGGTATTAGTGGTGGAACCAGTTTATCTTCATACCAAGGTCTTCAAACCGAATTTTCATCAACCAATGGTATCCAAAATGGTTTACCATACAACATTGGTCAATATAACCAAAATAACTCTACGATAAATCACGGAAAGGAAACAACCTTCAAAGGTACTAACAATACAGTACCACCACCTCTAAACTTGTCTCAAGACGACCCATTACCTGCACCACCAACTGCGAGATTTGTGGGTATTGACAACCGAAATGGCACTCACTTTGGAGCACATGTCAATAATGTAGCGTCATATGGAACTGGCTTACCATCAGCTAGAAGTATGCCAAGTTTGGTAGAGATTAACCTATTCGAGAATACTGCACCACCAGTACCACCAAGACGGTCGGGGTCGAGAAGCAATTTGAATGCGGATTTCGATGTCAAAGGGTTCTTGAATTCATTGGTGAGTTTTGGAAAGGGAGGTTGGGTAGAAAATGGCATTTTTTGATTTTTTAAGTTTTTTGAATTTTAAAAATTTTGTAATTTCGAAATTTGAGGAAAAGAAATTGTAACCTCCGTAATTTTAATAATTTTAGAAAAAGACTCCCGCTCCAGCTAGACCCTCATCCAGCCTAACAAACAAGAGCTTCGAAGATGTCGCGGCCGACATTCAAGCCGCCAATCCAGCCATCTCAAACGTTGAATTCGTGGACCGAATGGAGCCATTGGCCGCTTCCTCGCCCGTTCCTCCAAAATCGAAAATTCCAAAAAGCCAAAACTTTGGATGGACAAACCAAACACATGTCACTAGACCTGGATCAGTGACTAGTGCTTCGACTAACTACTCATACAATAACAAAGGTGATAGCAATGTTTATGGACAGTCAAGAATCCCTGGCTTTAAACAGCCGATTGGTAGTTTGGGTTCGAATTTGAATGGTCAGAACGGTCAGAAATTGAATGAGACTGGTCAGCTTAACCAGAACAGTCAGGGTATCAATCCGAACGGGCAGAATATCAACCAGAACTCTCAGAACATCAACCAGAACGCTACTACCCACAGCCACTCAAAACTCCCAAGCCCAACCGAGCTGTCACGCCAAGCCAACGGCCGCCACCGCCAAATCAACCCACCCCCAGTAGCTCCAAAACCATCCCTCGAGAAGCCAGAAAGACTCGATTTCAACAATAAAATACGCCATTTTTGAAGAGCAAATGAATGCCGGATCAAGCAACGAAAGACCGGCTCATCCACCCCCAAAAAGACCACTGGTTTCAGCACAAGAACTGAAGAACAACCAACTGAACATGGATAAGATACCATTGATTGACGAGGAAGCGGGAACAAGTATGGACAAGGACATTCAGGATCTGTTGAATGGAAAGTAGGTTGTTTGTGGAAGGTTTTTTGGCGGGGTGTATATATAATAATTAATTTAGTTTGGGAAAGGTTTGAGGATATTTTTTTTAAAATTGGGGTGGATTTGGAAAGAAAGTTTTGGGGAAGATGAAAATTTGTTTTTTTAACTGGATAGAAACTTATTACTGTTTTTTGTTTTGTAAAGAAAGTTCTTGCCATTTTCTGTTTTGTAAAGAACGTTTTTGCCATTTTTAATTCTGTAAAGAAAGTTATTGCGTTTTTGCAAAATTTTTAATTTTTGAAATTTCAAAAAAAATTTTATGTTTGTTTTACTAAAATTTAATTTCTTCCAGCTTAAACATTCCAAAACACCTCAGGCCTAACCAATCCTTTGACCAGAACAACTCTCAGAACCCTGCAGCTCCATCCCCAGCACCAAGTGATATGAGCACGGTCAGTTCTGTTCTGGAACAACGTGCCGCTGACATTGAAAAGCAACAAGCCCTACGACAGGCTAAACTGCACGCAATGCACAAGGAAAGCATGGAAGCGGCCGATTTGGTCAAGCTTTACGATCGCTATTCGAATTCACCCATTCCTACGCAGTAAACTGGGCATGGATAGTGATTTCAGTGTCTTGGATGATGTCAACGTGTTGGATTTGATGATTAATGTCAACTCCTTGGGTTTCATTAGTATGAAGGGCTTTGATATAATCAATATCAACATTGTGGACTTCATAGATGTCAATAGCTTGGATGTGGTTCAATATCAAAGCCTTTGGGGATTGTCATCGATTCAGTAAAAGGGTCTTATATAACGAGCTTTTATAGCAATTTCACTGACTTTTTTCGTCAATACATAGCTTTATCTTAATTATATTAGTCTATATTATCTATAAGCAGATGAGAATGTGAATGATTTGTCGATTTTCGATAAGATTTTGGTAATAAAAGGTAAAGTCTTGGCATTTTTAAGCCAAGTTTTAACTTAAAACACGAAATTTTTGGCGGACTGTGGCCTTAAAATTCAAAATTTTGTGGCGTTTATGATTAAATTTAGTAACAAAATTGTGACAAAACGTTGTGGACAAATCATAAGACTATCTTAATCATTTTACATTGACTAATATCATGGTATATGTCTATTAATGATGTTTTACATTAACTTTATCTCTTTTGTTGGATATTATAATTTTTTTTTGTCTATTTACCTTATGATATAGTACTTTTACTGAGTTTTTATTATATGTTACGCTGTCTTTTTGTTTATTTTCTTAATATTGTTTTAAATTTTTGTTATGTTAATGTTGGTTTTACTCAATATAAGGTTGTCTTTTAGCCATTTTTACCTATATTATTCACATATTTTACCTTATTATTTATCCTTTTCCTCTCTGTTGTCTCACTAATAACCTCAGGCTCTCCATCCCCCTAAAACAGACATTTCACTTCGAAACAGTTGTAATTAGATAACTATTTACTTTTTCAAAATTTTTTTTCCAATTTTGAATTAATTTTTTAAAATTTTTAAAGTTCCATACTAGATGTTAATAACCAAAACATTTCCAATTGTACATTGTTAACATTAACCCTCGTTACAATTTCATTGTAATTTAATAAAGAATAAAGGAATATGCATTATGTTTTGTCACATTACAGATGATTTTGCACTGGTTTGCACCCAAATTTGTCTTTTTTTATTTTAATTTTGTTTTTCGCGAGATTTTTAAACTTTTCGTGTATTGTTTTTCATTTTTTGTGTTTTTTCTTGTCTATATGTAGGCCGATTTGGTTTATGTTGATATATAAGGCTTACGGGTTATTGTAGTACGTAGGGCTTGGTGTAAAATATAATAGATTTCATATATGCAATGAAATTTTGAGGGATTTAAAGTTTGTGCGTTATGAAGAAGTTCCGGTATGAATAGACCTTAAAGCGGACCCATCAGGCCCGGCCGCAGGCTGGGTCAGGCCGACGTGTAGGTCCCGCAACGAAAGATTTGGCTTGCAAACAACGTAAAATGGACTTTCTTTTAAAGGTTTTCTACGAGTTTATCAAAGAAAAATTTTTAAAAGTCAAAAAATGACAAAGTTATAAGCTTGAAACACAATGCCAAATTGGCGAGAAATTCAAAACACAATTTTTTGATCTCGATTTTCTCGTGATTGAATGGAAAGCGCGATCTATTACTTTACTGAAGATCTTAAATTTACATGATCTTTCGACACAAAACGTTTGAAGTCAATCAGAGCGAGGCAGGTCGGCACTTTCTTTGTAACTTGTAAAAATAAGCACACATAACGTTATGGTCGTTTCATTTCTTTTCAATTGAAATTTAATGAACCTTAAGACATACAGAGCAAAACACACAAAATGTATTACTATGAAAAGTTTTGAGTCGAAAAGCAAAGTTTTTCAATTTACTGTTCGTTACTTGGTCGATTATCTGTTCGAATTGTATTCGAACTCTGAATTCCGTTTCTACTGTGCTTGTTCCATTTACTGGAATGGAGCAAAATTTGAGGTAGTTAAATCTCTTCATACCAAAATCTGGCCAGTAAAATTTCTTCGAGACAAGCTTGCCTAAAAATAAAAATAACCAATTTTTTAAATTTTAATGTAAAAAATTTTAAATTAGATTGTTCAACTAGTTATGTGCCTCTTATTCTCAAAAATTTGTTTTGAGCGTGGCTCAGTATTAATTGAACAACCTAATATATGAATTCATTTACAGTAGAAATCCTGTATAACAAATGACTCGACTTTAAAGCTTGTTTGTTGTACATAATTTGATAATAGGTCGAATCAGAAGTATCGGGACAATTTTTAGTTGAAAAACAAATGAAACGTGTCCCGCTGCTTTTGTTTCAACCAAGGCATTGTATAAATACTTGATTTCTGATAATATTGTCTAAAAACCAGGAGCCGGGCTTACCTGTCGACCAGTCTAAATGTACCAAAGGCTTTCTGCCGCACTTGCCGCTAAGGTAGTACGTTGTAACGAAAGGAAGCGTATCAACGAAAAATACGTTGGTGAGAATTTGCGAGCTTAGGATTTGTTTTAAAATGTCTATGCCTTGTGTTTTCTGATTACGTCGAAGAAACTGAAATTGAAAAGTTAAGGGTTTGCACCTAAAATTGGCACACGGGCCAGCTTTTAAAACTCTTTTTTTCAGCCAAAAACATGAACATAAAATGTTTTTGTGAATGTAAAAAGCCGTTGTTCTTACCGACTTGTCTCCTTGAAAGAGTATGTCGTTCAATAAACTGAATGTGTTGTATGGGAGGCCTGGTTTTTTTACGAATGAGCAATGTTTGTCTTCGTAAATTTTTAAATAATCACTTCCTGTAAATGTTAATTCATCTTACACACAAGGAAATTACCCAACCTGTCCCGCTCTGATTGACTTTAAAAATTTTTTGATAGAAAGATCATTTAAATATAAAACCTTCAGCACAGTACTAAATTGCGCTTTCCAGTTGTTCGAGAAAATTAAAAAATGACGCTTTGAGCTTCCTTATCTTTCAAGTTTATCTTTGTCCTTTTTTGACTTTTAGTGGAAATAGTTGAAAGTTCTCGAAAGTTTTTGTAAATTAGTGTTTTGAAGATTAACATACCATCTACTATGAGTTGATCTACGTTGTCTAAAATTAATATTTCATCGCCGTAGCTCCAGTTATTGATATCTAAGGCTTGCTTTTTGCCCGTTTTATTGTTAATTACAAGAAAATTTCCTTCAATATCCACGTACCCAACGTATTTACTGTAACCGTAGGAATCGGCACTTTTAATCGTGGGTAATCCTGGTATTCTGCGAGTTTCAAGTTTGTATTCTTTTTGATTGTACAGATCTACTAAGATACCATTCTTGTAGTAGTGCAACGTGGAACCATCGCAAGCATCATGACGAGATACAGGGTAGACTTTTACTGTAGTTTTGTTGATTAAATCGTAAACAACGTAGGCGTGCGTTGTGCCGATTATAAGTTTTGTCGATTTGTTGATAAGCTGAACGTTCGTTATGTTGCCCGTGAGGTGTTGAAAGTCGAGGAGTTCGAAAACTTTCTTTGCAAAGTCGATGTTGGTTAACAAAACATGGTTCTTCTCTAAAAGCACCGCTATTGTGCCGGTGTGAGGACAACAAATCGATTGTTCCAAAAGTTTCAAATGTGGTATAGTATCAATCGTTTCATCTAGTCGACGAGTTGGAGTACTGAAAGAATGATGAATAGTTGTCAAGACGCGAATTGATATTTTGTTAACATATTAAAGGTATTGTCTGTTTTTAAATTGATTAGCAGGAAAGAAAATATCGCATAGATTGAACCAAAAGTAGCGGGACTTTTGTCAATTAAAAAACCAATGAAAAAATGTTCCGCTACTTTTGGTTCACCTTAATATAACGATAATCCTGTACAACAAGCAGCTTTTAAATTCTCGAGTGATTTTTTATACGAGGGTTCTACCGTACTATAATGTTTTAAAGGTACAACGGAACTCCCGCATAATTAATCGTTTGAGAATATAAAACTTGTTCGTTATAAGAGAGTTTCATTATGCAGTAGTTTTACATGCACTGTGTAGTGATAGACGGAGGTATGAGTCGTTCGCTATACAGGATTTTGTTACGAATGAGTTTGTTATACAGAAGTTTCACTGTATTTACTTAGTTTTGGGGTGTTGATCGTATCACTTACTTTGCAAACGCTGTAGCCCAGGTTTCGCCATCAAGTCGATAAATTATATTTCTGTAACACAACTTTTTAAAATCCATTTTTGTTAACCGGTAAAAATATTTGCTGACTTGTGCAAAACTACAAACTTCTTCCATATATGTTGTGTATTGTAGCATAAGGGGCCAGAACTAAAAATTTAGTAGTTATAGTTTTATAAAATATTTATCAATTTGGTATGTCACTGTTTTCTAGTTTTAAAACCTAGTTGAAACGTTTAAATTTTTCATTCTATTTTAAAACCGTTCATTTTTTGACAAAAGCTAGTACTTGGGCATAGAAAAGCGAAAATTTTAAAAATTTTTCAAATTTCGGGTTACTGTAGGACTAGTAATTTAAATATTTTTTGTACCTTTTGTACTAAATTTCAGAATGGAATGGAGCTTTTTTTTAAGAAACCGTTATAAACTTTTAAAAATTTTCAATTACAAAATAACGGAAAATTGTTAAACTACAATTACAGGATCAAACTAACTTACATCGTAATACATTTCTTTGTATAAAAGGTCCATCTTTGGACCACCAATCAGCCGAAAGGATAACACTTTTTGTGATTTATATTAGGAAGATGGAAAGGACTCTTATAAAGCGACGCCAAAATACAAAGCTCAATCGCTTTACACATCGGTGAAACGAATTACCTCGATAGAAAAATTTTGTGTTCTTGCAAAGAAGACGGCATACAGCAGGACTTCTGTATAACGAATTCCTCTATAACGAAAATTCTGTATAGTGGGCAACTTTCAAATGTTTGTTGAGTAACACTAAACAGTGCATTATAACCTTTTGTATAACGAAACTTGTTGTGGTACGTAGAACTTGGTATGAAATAGACCTCATTTAAAATAAATCGCTCGGGGATTTAAAGTTTGTTGGTTATGAAGAAGTTCCGGTATGAATAGAACATAAAGAGGACCCCTCAGGCCCGGCCGCAGGCTGGGTCAGGCCGACGTGTAGGTCCCGCAACGAAAGATTTACTTGCGAAAAGCGTAAAACGCGCCTGCTTTTAAAGGTTTTCTACGAGTTTATCAAAGAAAGATTTCTAAAAGTCGAAGAATGGCAAACCTATAAGCTTGATACACAATGCTAATTTGGCGGGAAATCAGGCTTGGACACAGGGCAGGGCATTGGCAAATTTCCATGCCCTGCCCTGTGCCCTGCAATGCCCTGCCCTGTACAGGGCATTGGGGTTTTATGCGCTGCCCTTGCCCTGCAGGGCATTTACAGGGTATTTACAGGGCACTTAGGTATATTTTGGCGGACGCCTCCGCCGAGTGATCGATAATCGGCGGACGTCATAACTTGGTTAGTTTAGCAGCTAGAAAAATGTAGTTAAGTGCAGAAGTTGTTATCTGTCATAACCTACACATTAAGCCAGAAATTAATGTTTTTGAAAACAATATAGTTATCGACCGGTCGATAATTTACAAATGTTTAATTTTTACAAAAAACAAAGTTTTTTGCTTAGAATTGTATCTAATGCAATTTCTATACAATTTAGAACAACAGAGCTATAAGAATATATATAAAATTTGCAATTATAATATACTAAAAATTATCAACCGGTCGATAACAATACTACTTTTAAAATCTTAAAATTATGCTTTTACTTGTAGCGTATGACATATAATAACTTCTGAATTGAACTACATGTTTCTAGCTGCTAAACTAACCAAGTTATGGCGTCCGCCGGTTATCGACCGCTCGGCGGAGGCGTCCGCCATAAATTACCATGGCACAAACAGGGCATTTGCAGGGTAATGCATGGCATAGGGCATGCCCTGCCCTGTTCCAAGCTATGCCTGCCCTGTAAAAAAATTTCAAACCATGCCCTATGCCCTGTGTCCAAGCCTGCGGGAAATTCAAAACCCGATTTTTTGATCTCGATTTTCTCGTGATTGAATGGAAAGCGCGATCTATTACTTTACTGAAGATCTTAAATTTACATGATCTTTCGACACAAAACGTTTGAAGTCAATCAGAGCGAGGCAGGTCGGCATTTTCCTTGTAACTTGTAAAACTAAGCACACATAACTTTATGGTAGTTTCATTTATTTTCAATTGAAATTTAAAGAACCATTATAAAATAAAGTGCAAAACACACAAAATGTATTACCATGAAAAGTTTTGGGTTGAAAAGCCAAATTTTTCAATTCACTGTTCGTTACTTGGTCGATTATCTGTTCGAATTGCATTCGAACGCCGAATTCCGTGCCTACTATGCTTGTTCCATTTACTGGAATGGAGCAAAATTTGAGAAAGTTAAATCTCTTCATACCAAAATCTGGCCAGTAAAATTTCTTCGAGACAAGCTTGCCTGAAAATAAAAATAACAATTTTTTTAAATTTTACAGGGTGTTCCGAGAAATTTGGTCGCTAGAAATAATTCATGACTTTGCAACTATGCATCCTAAAAATGCCAAATTTGGCACAGTGGTAGAACAGACTTGTACATTTTTTATGGAAAATTTTGAGTTTTAAAAGTGCAAATTACGGTCATTATGAATTTTTAAAAATCAGCATTTTACACCCAAATTACACACATTTTGGTTGTTTCGATAATAGGTTGAACCACAAGTATCGGGACAATTTTTAGTTGAAAAACAAATGAAACGTGTACCGCTGCTTTTGTTTCAACCAAGGCATTGTATAAATACTTGATTTCTGATAATATTGTCTAAAAACCAGGAGCCGGGCTTACCTGTCGACCAGTCTAAATGTACCAAAGTCTTTCTGCCGCACTTGCCGCTAAGGTAGTACGTTGTAACGAAAGGAAGCGTATCAACGAAAAATCCGTTGGTGAGAATTTGCGAGCTTAGCATTTGTTTTACAATGTCCATGCCTTGTGTTTTTTGATTCCGTCGAAGAAACTGAAGTTGAAAATTTAAGTTTTGCACATAAAGTTGGCCCCGCGCCATCTTTTAAAACTTGGAATATCTTTTTTTTGCAGCCAAAAAACAGAATTTTCATATAGGATGAAGGAGCATAAAAAGTTAAACTGTTTTCAAAAACTGCTAACTAGACTCGGCTAGCGAGTGACAGTATGCTCAATATTCTTACATGCTTAAAAGATATAGCTTTAAAGTTCTAAAAATGATATTTTTTGACAAATTTTTTCTAATCTAATTATAATACAAGCATAAAATAAACAACTGGAACATAAATCACGTTCTGTGAATGTAAAAAGCAGGTGTACTTACGAAGATATCTGTTTGAAAGTATTTCAATCCAATCAATGTAACGTATGGGCTGGTTGACCAGTTGGTTCCATTCAAACGTTTTTTTACGAATGAGCAACGTTCGTCGTCGTAAATTTTAAAATAATCAGTTCCTGTAAATGTTAATTTAACTTACAAATAAAGTGTCCGACCTGCCCCGCTCTGATTGACTTTAAACTTTGTATCTAGAAAGATCATGTAAGTAGGGGTGAGAAAAGGTCCGGGCCGGGCCCATTTTTTAGGCCCGGCCCAGGCTCGGGGCCCAACGTCTAGGCCCGGCCCGTTTTCATTTTTCTCCCTGGCCGGCCCGGTCAGAAAATTTCTAAGCCCGGCCCGTTTTAAAAAATTTCAAAACTTAAAAAATAAACGGAAATTTGGCTTTACATTGTTCTTTCAGATCATTTATGGATCATAGTACCCAATAAAATCAAAGTTTATTTTTTAAGTTTTAAAATTTTTTAAAACGGGCCGGGCCGGGCCTAGAAACTTTCTGACCGGGCCGGGCCGGCCTGAGAGAAAATTGAAACCGGGCCGGACCTAAACGTTGGGCCCCGGGCCTGGGCCGGGCCTAAAAAAATGGGCCCGGCCCCGACCTTTTCTCACCCCTACTTACATGATCTTTCTAGATACAAAGTTTAAAGTCAATCAGAGCGGGGCAGGTCGGACACTTTATTTGTAAGTTAAATTAACATTTACAGGAACTGATTATTTTAAAATTTACGACGACGAACGTTGCTCATTCGTAAAAAAACTTGGGCCCGGCCCGTTTCTCACCCCTATCAACGGGGATTGAAATAAAATATTTAAAAAATTTAAAAAAAAAATTTTTTTTCGGGCCCGGGCCCAATTTTTCAAGCCCGGCCCGCGGGCCGGGCCTAACCTTTGGGCCGGGCCTACACGGCCCGTTTCTCACCCCTACATGTAAGCATAAGACCTTCAGCAATTTAGTAAATTGGCCGTTCGCACTGTTAGATACCTTTGTACTTGAAGTAAGAGGTAATTTTTTCGCAACTAATAGTTTGGTTTAAATAAGAAAGTTTTTGTAAATTAACGTTTTGAAGATTAACATACCATTTACTATAAGTTGATCAACGTTGTCTAAAATGGATATTTTATCGCCGTAGTCCCAGTTATTGATATCTAAGGTTTGCTTCTTGCCCGTTTTATTGTTAATTACTACAAAATTTCCTATAACATCCATATACCCAATGTGTTTACTGTAACCGTAGGAATCGACACTTTTAATCGTAGGTAATCCTACCATTCTGGAAGGTTCAACTTTGTATTCTTTTTGATTGTACAGATCTACTAAGATACCATTCTTATAGTGGTGCAACGTGGAACCATCGTAAACATCATAACAAGATACAGGGTAGACTTTTACTGTAGTTTTGTTGATTAAATCGAAAACAACACAAGAGTCCGTTGTGCCGATTATAAGTTTTGTCGATTTGTTGATAAGCTGAACGTTCGTTATGTTGCCTGTGAGGTGTTGAAAGTCGAGGAGTTCAAAAACTTTCTTTGCAAAGTCGATGTTGGTTAACAAAACATGGTTCTTCTCTAAAAGCACTGCTATTGTGCCGGTGTGAGGACAACAAATCGATTGTTCCAAAAGTCTTACATGTGGTATTGTATCAATCGTTTCATCTAGTCGACGACTTGGAGTACTGAAAGAATAACTGATGAAAAAAGTTGTCAATAAGCGGCCTGTGGCTTAGTTAACATGTTAGAGGTATTCTCTGTTTTTAAACTGATTAGTATTAGTTTTCAAGGTTTTTAGTACATAAAGATATCGAACGAACCAGATATGTTAGATTGAACCAAAAGTAGCGGGACGCTTTTCAATTGAAAAAATTTTAATGAAAGTCGTCCTGTTGATTCAACCTAATATGACAAAAATCCTATACAACGAGTTGTTTTTACACCTCCGTGCGATTCGTTATACAAGAGTTCTACCGTCCATAACTTTTTAAAGGTACAATGGAACTCCCGCATAACTAATCGTATGAGGATATAAAATTTGTTCGTTATAAGAGGATTTTGTTACGAATGAGTTTGTTATACAGGAGTTACACTGCACTCACTTTGTTTTGGGGTATTGATTGTATCACTTACTTTGCAAACGCTGTAGCCCACGTTTTGCCATCAAGTCGATAAATTATATTTCTGTAACACAATTGTTGAAAATCCGTTTTAGTCAGCCGGTAAAAATATTTGCTGACTTGTGCAAAACTACAAACGTCTTCCATATATGTTGTGTATTGTAGCATACGGGGCCAAAACTAAAAATTTAGTAGTTATAGTCTTATAAAATATGTATCAATTTATGTTTTTTACTGTTTTCTAAAAAAAACTAGGTTGAACCAAAAGTATCGGGACACTTCATTTATTTTTCAACTGAAAAGTGCCCGCTATTTTGGTTCCGTATAATATATTTGAAACATTTAAAATACTTGTAAACGTTATAAGCCTTTTCAAAGTTTTTAAATACAAAATAATAAAAAACTATTAAACTATATTTACTGCATCAAACGAACTTACATCGAAAGACATTTTCTTGTAAAGAAGGTCCATCTTTAGACCACCAATCTGGCAAAAGGATAACACTTTTTGTGAGTTATAATTGAAAGAAGGAAAGGACTCTTATAAAGCAACGCCAAAATACGAAGCTCAATCATTAGAGGACTGGCACAAATTGCGAAGCTTTTCGAAAAGTTTAGGCATCACTACAACGAATGCGGTAGAAAAATTTGGTGTTTTAGCCAAATGGACCAAATACAGCAGAACTTTTGTATAACGAGCTCTTCTATAACGAAAATCCTGTATGGTGAACAACTTTCAAATCTTTGACTAATAAGCAGCAATACACATCGCTTTTTAAACTTCGGTATAACGAAACTTCTATATAATTAACAAAATTTTGAACCTCTGAAACTGGAAAAAAAGAAATTTGTATTAAAAAAAGATTCTTCATATAAGGAATAAATACCCAACTTGAAAATTTTAGAATTGGATCAAAACTGTTAGTTGACACCTTTTTACTACTTTTATATGGAGTTTTTGTAGTAACTTTAAATGGATGTTTTGTAATATCATGAGCATGCTGCATTTAAAAAAACTACGTACTTATTAGAGGGAAAAAACACGGGCGCAACTTGCGAATTTATTATTTTTTTGATTTTACAAAAATTGGGATTTTAAAACTTTTAACTTGGTTAACAATTTTTAACGTTATAACTTGATAAAATGTAAATTTAAATCTATTTTTTATATATATTATGATTTTCAGATCAGCTTATTGCTCAAAACTAAATTTATATTGCGATCTTACTCATAGAAACCCTTTTTCGAACTTCTTTCCTCTAAAACAATATAATTTTTTTTCCTTTCAGAAACTCCGGTTCATTCCAATGTCTCTGATCTTTCGCCGAACCCAATCTTCCTCAAGATGGCTGTCTGTTCGTTGTTGTAGCAAGAAGATGAAGAAGGTTGAAGCTCCGATGGACGAGCCTTTGGGTCGGGAGTTATACCTCGAAAATCAGGTGGTTCGATTCATCTTAAACGCTCCAAAGAACCGAAATGCATTGTCTCTGGAGCTTATGAAGATGTTGAGGAATGAGTTGGAGCAAGTTGACAAGATTCAGAAGGTCAGAGCTGTGATTTTGGCCGGCAAAGGACCAGCATTCTCTGCTGGACATGATCTCAGACAATTGGTACGTATTTTTGTTTGTTTATTGGTGTTTAGGTAATGTCTTGGATCCAAATTGATGTTATAATATTGCTTTGATTGTGTACTTTGTTCAGAAGCTAATTTAATGAAAGAACACAGGCTTTTAAAAATTAAAACGTTCTTATTTTGTGGGTCATGGTTAACATAACTTATTTTGGTCGTTTGTGGATGAATATTTAAGCTGTTTGACGATCACATAGTATAATTATAATCTTCATTGTCTTGGCTTTGATTCATGTATAAATTCATAGAATTGTCTAACGTTTTTGTAAAAAAAATCAAGTATTCGCGTCAAAGGATCATGTGTAATATATATAACTTTTTAATGTGCAAGGTCTACAAGAATTTTTGAAGTGAATTAGTTGTTTTTGGTTTCTTTGGATTCTTGTTTTTAATATAAAAAGAAGTTTGACTGTTTTAAAAGTATTTTTAAGTAACAAAATAAGTTTTTCGCATCAAAGGGTCATGGATAACATAATTTTATGTTTCTTTCTTTTTAAATATCGGTATAATATGATGATTGCAACGTTCTGATTAAAACGTATTTTAGACAGACGAAAAAGGCTTTGGTCAACATGTAGAAATCTTTTCGGAATGCACCAAATTGATGTCAGTCATTAGGGCAATGCAGCTACCTGTTATTGCCGAAGTGAGCGGAATTGCAAGCGCTGCTGGATGCCAATTAGTGTCAACTTGTGATGTTGTCGTTGCTAGTGAGGAGTCCAAATTCTCCGTGCCTGGGTACGTCTAAAACACGGTTTTCGAGCTTGTTTTAGGTATAAACAACATTTACTTAACCTTAATTTTCAGATTAAAAGTCGGATTGTTTTGCTCAACACCAGGTATTCCACTTGGCCGAAGCATTTCGGATAAGTTGGCCATGGACATGTTACTCACAGCGCGGGCTATCTCAGCTGAAGGTAAGGCTGTTTTTTTAGCTTATGAAAAAGGTTTTTGCCATTTTTCTGCTTTGATAAGAGGTCTTTTCTAATTTTTTGTTTGTAAAGAAAGTTATTGCCACTTTTGTTTTGTAAAGAAACTTCTTGTTATTTTATGTTTTGCAAATAAATTCTTCGTCATTTCTTTTTTTGTAAAGAAAGTTATTGCAATTTTTATGTTTTGTATTGAAAATTCTTTTCATTTTTTGTATTGTAAAGTAAGTTTTTGCCATTTTTTAGTTTGTAAAGAAAGTTATTGCCATTTTTGTTTTGTAAAGAAAGTTTTTGTAATTTAAATTCGTCTCTTAATTCATTGACTGCTCTAATCGTATAATAGTTTATTTTTATTTATTTTAGAAGCCAAAAATGCAGGTCTAGTCTCACGTGTAGTACCAAAAGACGATGTCAAGTACGAGGCGTTGAAAGTAGCTGAAGATGTGTGTAATATGAGCAGAAGTGTGGCAGCGTTGGGAAAAGCCTTCTATTACGCTCAAAAGGAGATGAAGTTGAACGATGCTTACAGGTGGGTTGGGCTTTTGAACCTGATTTTTGAAATTTTTGATTTTGAATTTGTATGAAATTTAAAAAAATTCGAGTTTTTTAAATTTTTGAACTTTCTTCAATTTAAAAATTTGAAATTTTGAGTTTTTTTCGAAGAAACATATTGTTTTAAGTCTGGTTTTTCAATTTTAAATGATCTTTTTGGCTATCTTTTTAATTTATGGTTGATGCAAAAAGAATGGCGCGTCTTCAAAATATTTTTTTGGATCTTATCAATTTTTTAAAAATTTTACTGTTTTTTGACCGCTTTCTCAAAAAAAAATGTTCAAAGACCTCTTCCAGAAAGAGTACAGTAGGAAAGCGGGCGAACATTTGAGGGATTATGTTCGGACGGCTCATCGCCTCGGGGGAAAAACGTTTTCCCTCCGCTTTATTGTCGCCAAATTGATTAAAACGCAAAAAACGAGCGACATCAGTCGAAATAACTTGTTTTTTCGAAAGCATACTGTAGTTGAGGAAAGAAAAAATATAGGTACAGTAGGATTTTTTTTCAAAAAAAATTTTTTTTTGAGTTTGTAAGAACTTTGTTTACAGGCAATGATAAGGGAGGTTTTTTTTTTGGTTTTGTTACCTAAAATTACTATTATGTGGTTCAATTAATTACGTGCCCGTCTTGAATACGGGGTTAGGGGGGCACAGAATTATTTGAACAGCTTAATAAGTCTCATTAATAGCTATTTGATATGAATATAACTCAAGTATACTACGACATGATGCCTATATAACTCAGAGATTACTATAACTTGCTGTCGATATAACTCAAGATTACTATACCTCAAACTCTGTCACCTCGATGCCCTTGCCCTTCTCAATATAACCACAAATTTTTACGACGTGTAGCGACATAGCATAAGAAATGAGTGCGTGATGGTCCTAAAATTGTCTCCTTTCAACAATTTTTTGATGGATTTGCAGCCGGAGTAAAAGTGAAAGCAACAATGTAATTTAACTTTGTCACAAATTTCGCCCGTTTGAATTCTCGATTTTGACAGCCGAATATGTGAGTGGCTTTGGGTATTATATTTATAGGTGATATATTAGGTTGTTAACATAATTCTGCGCCCCCTTACCTCAAAAATTTGCTTTGAGAAGGGCGCAGAATTAAATGAACAACTTAATAGATAGGGATATTTACAGTAGGTTATTTATAAGTGATATATACAGGGGTAGTTACCGTAGGTTAGTGTTTGGTTGGTAGGGATGGGTAGAGTAGGGTAGGCTAATATTAGGCTGTGGTTCACAAAATTAAGTGTATCTCGAAGATTCTATTGCCAATTAACATGGTTTGTATTGCAAATGGTAGCTAACAGTCTAAGCTTTAACAGAATTTTACTCTTGTGGCTAAACATACAGGTTGTTTTCTATAAGTTACTCTGTTAGAGTTGATGATACTCATTTTATGCTCGAAATCTTGATTTTTTTCAAAATTCTTTCAAGATTTTAAATGCTTCTAAACTCGGGCCAAAAGCCACGGTGTTAATTCTCATCTCCGGCTCAATTAAAATACGGTTTTAATTAGGATAATTTGGTTCCGTTCCATAAAACTGACTCAATTACGGTACCCGCAGATGCGCCTAATGCCCGCGCATGTCGCAATTTGGCGCACAATATTCTGAGACTCGTAAAACATGCCATGAATGTTGCAATCTCTCCGGGGATTCGAAAGGCCAATTTCGCTTGGACCAAGCCAAGAATAAGGTCAAGACGTTAAATGTCGAGAAGCGGAGAGCAGGTGCGGGAAAAATTGGCGCACGGCGTTGTTGGACATTTAAAAATGAATTTTGATCGGAATGAAGGGGTTTTGAGAGTAAAAATGATAGCAGAGTAAAACTTCCGAAAAACTCAAGGAAAAGTTGATTGAAAAAGCCTAAAAGTAGTTTTTTACTTTATATTTTTTACTGTATCATACTTTGAATTTTGTCTATGCTCGTTATAAGCAACTTAAAAGAGTACTGTTTTTTGTTTGCTGTAGGGAGAGTTGTCGATATGAGTGTTTTACATAATGCCGTTTCTTTGAATCATATGCATGAATTGGGCGTACAGTATGATTTAAAAAAACGGCATTATCTGAAAGGCTTCATAAAGATAACTATCACTCCAGTGAACGATAAACGGTTCTTTTTTGAATTGCATATAACGAGTATCGACTAACAAGGAAAGTGCCCGACCTGCCCCGCTCTGATTGACTTCAAACTTTTTATAAAGAAAGATCATGTAAATATAAGATCTTCAGCAAACTACTAAGTCGCGCTTTTCAGGAAATCTCGAGAAATTCGAGATTGAAAAATGACATTTTGAATTTCCCGCCAACTTGGCATTGTGTTTCAAGCTTGTAACTTTGTCATTTTTTGACTTTTAGTTATTTTTCTTTGATATATTAGTAGAATACCTTTGAATGGACCTACATTTTTAAATTTGTACGCGTATCTTGTCTTGAAAGCCCTAAAAAGTGCTTGAAACACAATGCCAAATTTGCCAAATTGGCGGGAAACCCAAATAATTTAAATTTAAAACTCAAAAGCGCGAGCTAAAATTTTTTATGGGTACTATTGGTGGTACAAAGAATTCATATAAAAGTTTTGAGATGATTCCGAGCGGGGCAGGTAGGGTACTTTCCTTGTAAGTTTGACGTTTGGTATATTAAACAGTATAAAGTTAATTTGATACAGTAAAAAACCTACTTTTTTCTTTTTCTATTAACTATTCAGTGAGGAATAGGTTAAAAAATCTACTGTATTTTCTAAATTTCAAGACTTTTTAATCAATTGTTCCTTGAGCAAAGCATAATTAAAATTTGAAACATCTCTTCCAGTATGCTTGCTTTATGTTTGCACTAAAAACGGAAATGCGCAAGATTAAAAAAACCGGCGGATTCACAAAGCGTGCGAAGCGACCGGAAAGATAACTGTAACCGATCATCGGCAAGAACGCATTTGAACTCGGGATTCGAATGGAATAATCCAATTTCCTACAAAAGAAGCACGGATTAGTGGGCTTTGTTACTCATACAACAACTACTTTTTGTTGTTGTAAGAGGCCATTGGTCCGCTTTAACAGAATGTGCTTTTTAAGTATTGCTATATCGACAATCTTAAATTGGCCGTAGTTAGGCTTATTGGGCCGGGCCCAATTTTTTGGTTTTCTTTGGGCACCGGCCTTCGAGCTCAGTAGCTGGCTGGGTTTTTTTTTAAATTTGCTTTGGTCTTTCTTATATAAAATCATCAAAATTATGATTGGTATGGTACTGCTTTTAAGCCTTCAGTTATCATTAATTTTAATGCTGAAACATATTAAAAAACGATTACAAAGTAAGTAGCTTTAACATTATATTCGTTTCAAACGTTCTGTAATTCAAATCTTTCGTTGTGGGACCCGACCTGGACCCGTGAGGCTTGATTTGGGCTGCGGCCTTCGTTTACACGTTACCGCCTGGCCCTTTTTAAATCTGCTTTGGCCTTGCTTAGTCCAGTCTTGGGTTGGGCGTAGTAAATTCCCTTTCAGGTTTATCGATAGCATAAAATTTGTATTTTTAAAATTATTTTTTGTTAACAGAAATCTTTTTGTTTCTTATTTTTGGTCTGATTTTCGTCTTTTTGGTGACCAAAGCTTTCTTTATCTGCTTTTTTTGTCTAAAAAGTTCTCTATGATAATCAAGATATTTTTTTTAAAAAAACTTTCATTTTTTAAATTTTTTTAAAGCAATTTTTAGTTTGACGTTAAAAAATAAAAGAAATTTTTGTTGCAGATTCGGCGAAAAAGTGATGACCGAAAATTTGAAATTAAAAGATTGCCAGGAGGGAATTGATGCTTTCATCGAAAAGCGCACCGCCGCCTGGACCCATTCGGATGAACGCGTGAATTAAGTGGACCGGAAATGACATTGTTACCCAATTTTATGCCCCTCATTTATAGGTTGTTATAATAAATGCAGAATTTTACAAACTGCTCGACTATTTGGTTTTCTGGTTTTGAAAAAAATTTTGAAAATTAAGTTTTGGAGGTTTTGATGCAAAAATAATGTCATTTTTGGGGATAGAATGAAGTGATTGGTCAAAAACTATATTGGAAGGTCAAAAAGTGTATAGAAAGGTTAAAAAGTGTAATTTAAAAGTAGAAGTAAGGCTAATTTTAGGCTAGGCATTTACTTCTATTTCCATAACCTTTTGGTCAAGATAAACTTGATGCAAAAAGAATGGCGCATTAGTGAATAAATTCCCTGCTTTTTCAAAAATGATGAAAAAGGATAAAAGAAAAAGTAAATTTAGTTAAAAATTTGATTCTAGACTCTTTTTGAATGATAGAAGCTTGATGCAAAAAGAATGGCGTGATTTTCAAAAAAAAATTTTTTTAAATATATGTGTCCAAAACTTAAATTTTGGTGTAAAATTCTTTAAAAGTTTGTGTTTTGTACTTTAAACGGCCGTAAAACTTTTAAAAAATCCAAAAACGTTGAGTCAGTTATACAACAACATATTACACTAGACGTGTTGAGCGGCTTACATCAAAAAACTTTTAAATTTACTTTACATAAGCCGTTTATTGGCCGCTTATACACTGCAATGTTGGGCTTGCGAAATGGTAACGGATCGTATTAAACGACACATTAAGTGGTCGTAAACTGTTTTTTGATGGTGTGGGAGAAGGTTATATACAATATATACATGTAGGTGTAGGATGGTGATGATTGGGTTGGTATGGATGTTATATGGATTAATTTAGGCATTTGTTTAATATTTTTGAGAATGATGTGAAAGGGCTTTAGATAAGACTGAGCGGCTGATTTTAGTAGGGAGGACCGATTCACAAAAAAAATTTTTTTATTTTAAATTTGTTTATAGTGTGAATTGTGTTCAGTAGCTCTATGTTGTAGTATAGTGAATGATCTTGTTGTTGAAATTAAGTTCTGGCCGATTATACTGAAGAAATGTTGTCGTTGGAGATGTTTGTGAAATCAAAAGTAATAGGCTTCTGTGTCATGCGGATAATCTGTAAACGTTGATGGATCGGCGCTAAGTGTTTTAGAGCTTTAAATTTGGATTTGTCAATATTTTACGATCAGAATTTTAAAATGTTTGGCGATGTACATTGTAGTTTGTTACTAGGCATTTACAGTGAAATATGTATTTTGATGTACACATTGTTTAGGTATAAAATATTAAAAGTTGTTTTGATAATACAGGATACGAAGCTTTTACAGTAACATATATATTTTGTTGTACGCATTGTTATAGGCTTACCATGGTAAACTTTCTTTGATAGTATTGATGTAGACATGTTATAGTAATTTTTTTTGCTATTACAGAAGAGTCAGGCATTTTTGGGTTGATTATAATGAACGTTTCTTTTATTGACCGTTCTTTTAGGTTATTTAGCTTTTTCAGAATCCTAACAATGTGGCTGCAGTTGCCTCTCGTTATAAGAAACACAGAAAATTGCCATACCTTGTTTAATATAGAGAGAGGCGTCACGGGGTGTTTCATACAAAGAGATAAAAATTATGCGGACTATTTCGTTTATAATAAATAAAATATTGTCATTTTTTATGTTTCTTATAACGAGAGACAGCTGTAGGCAGCTTTGTTTTACTTACAGCTTGATTAAATTTTGAAAAAGAATAAGTGATTCTGATAAAGCTAAATCTACTAAAATAACGGTCGGTAAGAGAAGCATTCACTATAATAAACACAAAATGCGGCTATACTGTGGTAGAAAAAAAAACTTTCTTTCGTCAAGAAAACTATATCATTTATAACGTCAAAAAATTTAATTAAACGTTTACAAAAATGTATGCATTGTACTGTAAAAGCCTTATATAGGCAAGTCATATAATAGTAAGAAAGGAAGTCAGAGAGTCGTCATGAGGAAAAATGGTTCTGCTAAAGATAAGTGAGCTAAAAGAACGATTGATAAAAGAAACACTCACTATAGTTAACCTCTAATGTTATTCTTGTTTTGTTGCTTATTACGAGAGCGTACCATTAGGACCAGTTGCAAAAGAAGCGCAAGTTTTATCGCTTCCAACCATCCCTCTACACCAAGTGTAATGTAAGCATTCGGGAAGAGCGAGAGGAAAAGCGGTAGCCTCATCGAGGCGGTCGGTTCTTGTTCACGTGGATTACTGTGCCTCTTATATTCTTCGTCGTCTTCCATTAGCGGAATTGAATGGCGCGGCCGGTCCCTCGAGGCTCCACACCAGGCCGCCGCGGTCTAAACGGCCCGAAAACTCGCGTCGAATGGTTGTTTTTGTGCGCGTTAACTTTGGGAATTTGTAATATCTTCGCCGGCCACGAATTGTAGCATATTTTTGAATTTTGCGAAAACGGTCTCAATTTTGTTGTTTTTGAAGATTTTTTTTGGATTTGAGTATGGATGGGATTGGAGTGAGGGGAGGATTGATGGAGTTGTAGGAAAGGAAAGGGGTTTGGTTTGTGTTTGACAGTTTGGGTTGATATTGAAGGTGTTTCTGAAGTATAATCATCATCTGAGATTAGTTGATATTGGTTTGAAGTTGCAAAATTTTCTCTTTTTCTATTATTAAAAATTTGCTATGAGACATGGCTTATTACTTTTTGAACAAAATAAATGGCTCATTATTTTTTGAACATTATACATACTCTATTATGTTTTCAACAAACTACATGGCTTATTGTTTTTTGAACAACGTAGTAATTTTTGTCTTATTTTGTTGGCCTTATTTGGACCTTCTTAAGTTTGTGGGTCACTTGGACTAGTTTGAATATATTCTTTTTTCATTGTTAGCTTCTGATTATATATAGTTGGTATTGGGATGAAAGAAAACATTTTGTGTTAGGACTTGCATACTATCTTGTAGAGGAATTAAATTACCTGTTGACTATGAGAAAGTCCGTGTCTTGTCAATTTATTGAATCTAAGAAGAGGATGAAGTTGTAAGCTATTCGTAGCGCTTGGTAGGTGATTCTGATCTATAAAAGGCATGTATGGGGCATTGATAATGTGACATCTTTTAAAAATTGTAAAATACGTGAGGAACGGTTGTTATGGTATAAAACAATGATTTTTTTCTTTTTTCTTCCAGCTTTGGAGCAAACAAAAACTAATTTTGAGATATTAACCATGATTTTGAACAAAAATATCAAGCTATAATATTAAATTTTTGATTAAAACTAGGTTTTTAAAAAGCTGTAAAATTTAAAAAAAAGCAAAAAGAACTTTGAGCACGGCACGTCACTTGCGAATGTTTTTACAATCTTTTTCCCAAACGCGGCCGGTTTATTCAACGAATAATCGCCTTAGGGCCCGAATCTACGCCAATGGGCACTTAGCAGTGTTATGTAACCGCGATTAAGTTTTACACATACGTTTCAAAAATGTTGTAAATATGTTTTTTCATGGTTTCTGATAAGGATACGTGACTTTTGGACAGGATTAAGGGGTTGGGATCGGTGGCTTGGCCTAGGCGTTATGTTCAGATTGTTGGCCTAGTCTAGGCGTCATGGTATTTTAAGAGTTGGGTTAGAGTAGGTTAGCGTAGGGAAGGATAGGGTAGGGTAGATTATAGTAGGCTAGGTTAAGTAGTGCTGCGTAGAAAGTAAGGCTAGTTTAACATATATCCTCATATTTTACTCATTTCGGTCGTCTTCATATCTACTTATTATGTTGTACTACGACTACCCACAGACATGTATATATAATTTATGATTGAATAGCCTTCATGAAACATTCCGAGTAATAACGAAAAGAAACCCCCAAAAACATTACATTTTACCATTGTTCAGGCGAATAAACATACTTTATGTTCGGTTTTGAGCTGAAAAGTTTTATAAATGTTAGCCAAAGTTTAAAAATATAAAGTTTGTTCTGTAAAAATGTAGGTAATGTAAGGTTAATACGGAGAGCAAAAAATGATGACAATTATACTAGGTTTTTTTGTTGGCTACAATTAGATGTTTATTCCCCCCTTGCTTCAGTAAAAACTGTAGCGACAGCCAAATGATTAGATATTATCTGGCAAAAGTAGCTGACCGAGTTTAATTTTTGGGCCTGGTCTTTGGACTGGGCCTCGTTTTTGGGTCCCTGCTCTCTGACACACGTGTGCCGAATTGCAACTTTTCTCCAACCTGGCCCGGCCTTTTCTACAAATTTATTAAAATATTAAATGGAACAAAAAGTACATAGCTTTAAGATCAGACTTGTTGTACATCTTTTTCAAGTCAAAACTTTCGTTGCGGGACCTAAAAGAGATTTTAAATTTGCTTTGACATAGCCGGAAGCTGTGTCCAGACCGAGGCTAGGCCAAGCCAATTGGGCTTTTTCTTAGGTATAGTTATGGCTTTAAGCCCTTATAGCTCAATTTTTGCTTAAAATTTTAAAAAAGTTGCCATTTTACCACATAACCCATAAACTGCCAAACCCTGCCATTTAACATTAAGGGCCGGTTGTTATAACGGAAGATCCAGGCGCCGCCCCCGCTTCTCCCAATTGGCGGGTGGGTTTCGCGCAAGCTGGCTGCGAGAGGGGGGAGGGAGTGTTACCATTCTCATCTTACTCTTTTTTTCTTTACAACGCTTCTTCCGCTTTTCGAATATATTTTCAAGCTCGAGGGCATACGGTAAACAAAGTTTTTGCGGTTTTAAGGGGGTATGGGTAAAAAGGTTTTAAGGGATATGGGTAAAGTTGTGGGGGTGTTTTTGAAAACTTTGAATTTTTTAAAATGGGTTTTAAAGCTTTTAAATTTGAATAATTGGGGGTATATTGAAGGTTTTTGATTGGGTTTGAATTACGTAAAAAACATTTTTTTTTGTTTTGAAAAATTTTTTAAAATTGATTTTGTTCTGGGTTTTTGATCACAAATTGCCTAAAGAAGTCTATTTTACTTTATTTCAGTTTTTTTACATTTTCTATTTGCTTTTTGACCCAAAAAATTGACTTTCTTTTAGGTTTTGGAATTAAAAATTTTTCGATTTTTTAAAAATTTTTAAAGTTTTAAATTTTTTCAAAAGTTTTTAAATTTTTGTATTCCAGCCAAGCTGACGTTGACGAAACCGACGAAGCGCGCACGGCCCGGCCGTTCCACGGTCGGCCGAATGGTTGAAAAGCAGGCCGGCTCGCCGTCGGCCTCGTCCTCGGCCGAACCGCCCAGTCAAATTCATCAGCTGGCCCAGAACGACGAACTGAAGAACACTGCGGGTACATCGGAGGAACAAAGTCAGGGCCAGATGCCAGGTGGGTTGAGGTTTTTGAAAATTTTGAAAACTTTTTGAAATATTGAAAAAATTTTGAAATTTTGAAAAAAATTTTAAAGTGTGACAAAATATGGAATTTGGGTTAAATTAGAAAAATGTTGGAAAATTTTTAAAATTTGGGTTAAAATTTTAAAATTTCGAAAAAAAATTTTTTTTTGAAAAAAATTGAAGTTGGTAAAAAAGTTTCGAAATTGCGACAAAATTTTTAAATTAAAAAAAATCTTTGTTTTCAAGCCTTGCCAAAGTTTTATAGACCTTACTTACAAATTCCCAAAACCCTCACCTAAAAAACTCTCCAAAATGCCATCGTATACCGATTAAAATTGCGCGCAGCTTTAGCAAAAAGTGCCGACTTTGGTCGCAGCTTGAGCTTATCGAATTTGTCAAAATGGCAACAGTCGGGATCGTTTAGCCTTGATCAAGAACACTTTTTGACAAACGTTTTTTCGAGAGGAAATGTATGTGTGGGAACGGCAGCGGGAACATTAATACGATTGGAGGGGTAACGGTGACAAAAGAAAGGAAACCATATAGGGTTTGAGCAATGTAATGGCTAAGTGGGGGTTTGTTCGATTTTTGAGTTTTGATAAAGGTTTTCGGTCGATTTTTGATAGAGGTTTTAGGTTTGGATGTAATTTTTAGATTCTGTATGTAATTTGGATGCTTCTCTATGTCTTTTTTGATTTGTTTTTACTATCTGGGTTACTGTAATTTAAGCTAGAAGTTTTACTTGGACTTGAAGGAAAATGGTTTGATGTTCTTAACTTTTTGGTCGATTTTTGATAAAGTTTTTAATTTTGGTTGTGATTTGTGGATTCTACATGAAATTGTGATGTCTATATATGCTTTTTGATCTTTTTTATTACTAGCTTTGTTACTGTAATTTGAGTTAGAAGGTTAATTGGATTTGAAGGGGATTGTGGGTTCTTTTTGAGTTTTCGGTCGATTTTGGTGATTTTTTAAGATTTTCGGGCAACCTGGTTCTTATTTCTGGGTTCTACATGAAATGGTGATGCATATGTGTAGTTTTTATTGATTTATTCAAAATTATATTACTGTAATTTGAAGTGCAACACTATAGGTATTTCAGGAATTGCATTTCAAAACTGATCAGTTTTAGTCGATTTTTAGAATTTTAGAAAATTTATAGGATTTTGAATGAGATTTTAGGGTGTTACATCTTGTTTTCATGTTTTTGTTTTATTGTGTAGGTACTAAATAGTATAATACGACTGTATATGGGCTTTGAAGTCTTGTATTACTTCCAACAAAAGTTTCTAAAATTGGCTGTTTTTGGTCGATTTTGGGGCTTTAAATTAGATTTATAGTATTGTATGTACGACTTTTTGGGTTCTAAAAGTCATTTTGATTTAGAGAGTTTATTTTTGCATTCTTACTGTACTTTTCTTGCTGTAAAATGAGCTTTTTTACTCGGCAATCGTATGTTTTGATTTTTGAAAAAACAGGCTAGTTCTAAAAGAAACGTTTAAAACTAGATAAATTGAATACTGTAACCATTAAAAACAGAGCAAGTACATTATAAACTCTAATTACGACTAGTTTCCTACAGGAATTTTCGTATATCAATCGAGTTTTAACGAGTTTCCTCTCGCTTTTTGCCGCGAATCCGCCTGCGATTCTTATTAAAGCCAAGCCGAACGGCGACAAATTATAAAAAAAATGCGAGAAAAAATCACAGTGGGTGCATGTTGTTGTAGCCGACCTTTCTGTGACAAACTTTTCTCGTTTTTGTAATTTATAAGCCGTTTTTTGCGCGATTACTGTAGCGGGAACGGGAACGACGCAGAAAAGGAAAGGGGGAGATTGTGTCGCAGCAGAAAAGGGGTAGAGATATCGTGTCGCAGCGACAAAAGCGATAGTTGGAATAATGTAAAAATGGATTCAGTATAACTACTATGGTCTTGAGGACGTTGTGTAGTAATATTACAATGAGATGATAACAGGTTACTGTAATATGGCTTGATTTTTAAAATTGTAAAAAATCAAAATTTTTTGATTTTTAAATTTAATTTTTTGAAACCTTAAAATGAATTTAAAATTAAATTTTTGGGTATTTTAGAATATTGCATTAAATTTACTATAGTATTGGTATTATAATTTATGTTACATTTTTTCGAAATTACGGTAGAAAGAGCGCTTATGATGAGTAATAGCAGTTTGGCGGCGAACCGACGAAAAAACTTGTTTAACAATCAATGAAACGTGTCGATACGGTAGAGAAAAGTGGTGTGTTTTCTTGTGCATACTGTAAAATTTATGTTTTTTCTAGTGAATACAGTTAACTAGGGCTTGTTTAAGTTGGCAATACAACATCGTATGTTATAATGTTTTGTAATAGGTTTATCAGTGGATATTGTAAATTAAATGTACTTTTTAGAGGCCGGGAACGGTAGATAGTCTGTTATGGTTCGTGGGTAGGGTTGACTGTGAAATCTTGGTCATGGGGTAAGGGAGGGGTCAGGTAAAACTTTTTTTTTGAAAATCAACATGGGGACCTAGCTCAACTTTTCAAAAAAAAACTTTTTGGTAATGGAGCGGTTTTTTTTACTTTTGTCGTTTAATACAATGGTGTGGTAATGTATGATCACTTTGAGGTGTTAAATTGCAATTTTAAAAACTTTTAAATTCAAAATCTTTCTTAAAAACGTCATTCTTCACAAAATTCGGAGCCAAGCAAAATTTTCTGCACACGCTAATCTAGCGAAAAAAATGTTTACTCCGCGACGAATCCAACCCGGTCTAATACCCATCCCCTCCACCGTAATCCCCTTGTTTTGGCCGCTGATCCCCAAAAGAAGTCACCTGGCTAGGGGCTAATACGCCTAAAGTGACTTTACAAAAAATAAAGTAAGATGGGGTGTGGGATGAGCTTACGGGTTAGTTATTACTTGGCTTATCAGCTTAAGGTAGGTTACATGGCTTTATGAGCTTAGGGGTAGTTTATTTGGCTTTGGCAGCTTAAGGGTAGGTTACTCGACTTTGCCAGTTTAGTAGTGGGTTACTGTTTGGCCTTAGGTATTAAAAGGTCAAAAATTTGAAAAAAAATTAAAATAAAAAATTTTTAATAAAAAATTTAAAAATTAAAAAAAAATTTTTTTTTTTATATTGAAGTAGGCCCTAAATGTCATTTTAAACATTTTCAATTATAACAAGCTACTGAAAATACTGAAACAAGCCCTTAACTCTCCAAAAATGCCACTAAATCCGATCAATGATCAGTGTTTTGGTTACGGTAACACTTAATGTAGTTAGTTTCAAATTCCGCTCAAATCCGCTTTGTAATCGCATTTTGGAGACATGAGCCATCCACAGGAGTCTGTACTTTATGTACGACAAATTTCGCTGGAATTCGTTGAAATGTGGCGGGCATACGATTAAAAATGTCATCGTTTTGAGTGAGAGGTTTTGGTGTGGGTTTAGGTAATTTTGATGTTTGTAGGAGAGGTTGTTGGGTGTGGAATTGCGATTCTTGACTTTGTATAAGTTAAGTATGGTCTGTAGAAGTAGTACTTTAAGTTATTTGGCTGTGGCTATGTTAGAGACAAAGAAAAATGAAAGTAAAGGTATTGTGGTACTTGTAGGTATAGGTGCTTTCGATGGTTGTAGTAGAGATGGTCAGGCCTGTCAGGGTGGTTTTATGGTTTATATAGTTTAAGTATGGTCTGTAGATATTGTACTGTAAGCATTTTGATTTGACGCATGTTAAGGACAGTAAAAAGTAAAATTTAATATTTTATAGTTCTTATAGATATATGTATTGTAAGTAAGCATAATAAAAGTCCTGAGTGTATTAGTGGTTTTATTGTTAACATAGATTAAAAATACTCTGTAGATTTACTATTGTAAATTTCAAACATCTACCACAACATACCATGATGCTACACATCATCGAACTTGTTCATGACATAAATCCAAACCCATAAATAACCTCTTAAATTGCACTTTTAATCGAAAATTCCGCGAAAATTACAAAACAAATTCGACACGAAACTACACCTACAACTACAATCCACAAACCACGGTACTTTTGAAACACAAACGAACCACAAATTCCTCAAAAAACGACGTAAATACCCCAAAAAAGGCAACGTAAACGCCGCCAAGTTTTTGCTGATTTCCTGTCATAGCGTGCGAACGCTGGTAATCCGGTTCGGCCGTTCGGATTAGCGCGACGAGTTTGCTGGCGGATTTCCTGAAGCCGGATCCGCCGTTACGACGCCTACACGTTTGTTTACGGCTGATAAGCGGGAAACGTCATCTGGAACGGTATGCAAAATAGAGTTGGAGGAAACACTGTAATGTATGTTGGGGCAGAGCACATAGAAATACTGTAGTGTTAGGTGCGGCCGAGCATGTAGCGCTTAAGTTTGTTTTGTGATTTGGAAAATTACTGTTGTGTATGGTAAAATAGATCATAAGGTATGAAAATGAAGAATTTGAAGATAAAATTATTACTTAGTTTCTAGCAAAGAACCTTTTTTAAAACTACTGAGTAGAATGGATATGAGTATAGTATAGTATAGAACAGGTTAAAAAAAAGAGACTGAAAAGATCGAGAATTGAAAAAGATGTTGTGATAAGTTATAAAGAATAAACAATTAAAGAAAAAAAGTTTGGAAGGAAAATATTTTTTGGAAAGATAGTTATGACTAAAATAGACCATTCGTTTTTTTACATATATTGGGCAAAGGATACCATATTTCGATAACAAAACACATTTTAACTTTACTTTGTAAAGATTGTGTTACTACATGGTAAAGTAGAATATAATGAAGAGAAATGCCTCAGTTTATATAAAAAAGTTGATTGAAAATAAAGTTGTCTAAAATATATGTTGTGCTAGATATACTTTGCAAAAAAGACTACGTTAGCCCAAAAATGTGTTAATATAAAGTAAAGTGGACTATGATAAACATATATACTATTTATAGTCTGAAGAAAAAGTTGATTGGAAAGAAATTTATGCCCGTTTTATGTAAAGTAGTAATGTGTATTAACATATATAATTTGACGGTTACTAGTTATGTCTTTGGGCGCACAAAAGAAGCCTTACAAATGGCACTAGCTAAAGTTATGAAACTGAAAAACTGCTAATTTAACTAGTATTTGTTAATTTTATTGCTACCTTTTGCAATTTGAACAAAGATTGAAATTTCCAAAAAAATTTGAAACCAAAGGTTGAAATACGCCCTGGATAAGGTGTCCTTTACCTCTTTCTAACAATTTTTTATATGACTTTTTGAATTTTTTATGACATTTTTTTACGAACAAACGAAAATAGTGATCATTACAACATTACACTCGTTTTATTGTTTTTTGACAATTGAAAATTTTTTTTAAAATTTAAAGTATGTTTTAAAGGTCATGAGCATGTTGTAAAGGATATTTATGGAAGTAAACTTACAACAGCACTATTAACATAAAAAGTAAAGAAAAAGTCAGCAATCTTTGTTCTATGGCACTTTTTATCATGCTTGTAGGGTAGGGTACTTTAGTTAGTAATGACGCTAAAATTGGTCGATAATTTTCAAAAAAAATATTTTTGGTCGATAATTGAGCCAAAAAAATATTTTGGTCGATAATTGAGCCAAAAATCGATGTTGGTTGAAAATTTCAAAAAATGTATTTTTGGTTGATAGTTGAGCCAAAAATCAAATTTTGGTCGATAATTGAGCCAAAAAAATATTTTGGTCGATAATTGATCCAAAGATCGATTTTGGTCGATAAATGTCCCAAAAATGTTATTTTTGATCTAAAGTTGATTATGGCCAATCATATAGCTTACAATGACATTATAACAATCAAAAACTTGGGAATTACAGTAGGTTCGGCGGTAAAACAAAGCGAAAGAAGTTGGCGTGTTCATGGTGCGTGGGTTCCTTAATTAAGGCACTCGCTAAAGGGTAAAGACGGAAATGGATGGCGTAAAAAGATGACACAAGATCGCCAAAAGAATGAAACTGGCCCAAAGGGCAAAATTAAGAATTATTGAAGGCAGGATATCTTAAAATTTGAAACATTTAAAATTTTTAAAAAATTTGAAAAACTTTTTTTTGAATTTTCAAACTTCGAAATTTAAAAAGATTGAGATTTTTAGTGGAAACAAAGTTTTAGCGGCCTAAAATTTCAGAAAAAATACGTTTTGTCAATTTGACAGTTGTAAAAAAAGTTCTTGCAATTTTCTGTCTTGTAAAGAAAGTTCTTGCAATTTTTCGTTTTGTAAAGAAAGTTCTTGTCATTTTATGTTTTGTAAAAAAAGTTTTTTCCATTTTTGATATTATAATTAAACATCACAAGGACTTTCTTTACAAACTAAAAAGTAGCAAGAACTTTTATTACAGTCGGTTTTAAGCTATTCTCTGTCTTGTAAAGAAAGTTCTTGCAATTTTTCGTTTTGTAAAGAAAGTTTTTTCCATTTTATATGTTAAAACCAAATATTGCAAGGACTTTCTTTACGAACCAAAATTTCAGCCATTTCCTGATTTGTAAAGAAAGTTCTTGCCATTTCTAAGCTTCGTAATGAAAGCTTTTGCCATTTTATGTCTTGCAAAGAAAGTTCTTGCCGCTATGAGAATTAAAAAATAACGATAACAAAATCTTTTTCAACCCATGTTCTCCCGGTCGATTTGAGTTGTGGCCGCGCATAGTTTGTCCTCGCATCGGATCCTCTTATAAGGTAAACAAAGTGTGAAAATCAGGTTTCATGTGAGTGCGGCACTCTGCATCTGTGTTGGCGGAAGCGTTAAGTAACAGGTGTCAAAATTAACGGCGAAGAAGAGCTTATGCCGCGCTTCTTTTTAGGTCTAAATGTTTTGTCGTAAACATGAAATTTACAAAAATTTTTAAATTGGCAAAAAAATTAATTTTAAAAATTAAAAATGTTTTTAAAGATAAAAACATAAAGTGGTATAAAAACGTTGGAAATAAAGTTATTGTTATTTTTTTTTGTTATCACAGATAAAACATCAAAAACTTTCTTTTTAAACTTAAAATATTTAGAACTTTCTCAATAACACAAGAAATGGCAAGAACTTTTCTTACAAAACATAAAATGGCAAGAACTTTCTTTACAAAACATAAAACCGCAAGAACTTTCTTTAAAATTTAAAATGTCAATAACTTTCTTTACAAAACAAAAAATTGCGGAAACATCTCTAAAAAGCAGAATATTGGTAAAAATTTTCTGTACAACCTACTGAATACCTGCTGGGGACAAAATTTAATCCTATAAATAAAACCTTTTAAGAATTTTTTTGCGCAGTCTGTAATGACCAAGTTATACGATGAAACTTATCCTTTTGTCTTTGCGTAGGCAAACGTTCCATTTTCATCAAACCTGAGCTCAATTACAGTAAAAACACGCTAAATTTAAAACGGTCGAAAACGTGCCAAATTAGTTTACACTTTTTGAGGATTTAATTAAATTCGTTACGTATTTGAGAAAACATTGGCATTACAGTGAAATAAACAGGCAATTAAGCGATTAGAAATTAATCAAAAACAATAATAAGGTAGTAACTAAATTAAAATTTAAGTATCTAAATTAATATTGCTAAGCTGTTGACGACTAAATTAAATTTTGAGTATTTAAAATCAATTTTAAGGCTTAGCTGAATTAAAATAACAGAATTTGGTTATTAATAGTAGACGTAAAAGTAAATATTATTCTTGGCTTAGAAGAGGATATGTTTAATGTAAGAGGTTGATGGTTGATTAAAAACAATTTTTTGAGTTTTGAGTAGGTCTAAGTGTAAAGACAGTTATTAGATGCCGACATAAAGAACCCGCCATTTTTTACAGGAATTGCAGGTAAGGTATGGCGGGTTCTTTATGTCGGCACCTAATCTTACTACTATGATGCTAATTTTTGTTTCGGAAAATGATACTGTTAATACTGTTTTTTAGAATTTTTTAAAAAATATAGTACCATTTCTTATATTATAATACTTTTTGTTTTTTATGAGTGGTACTATTGGTACTATTTTTGGACTTCCTTATGTATCTATTCGTAAGCACAAATACAGGGTGCGCCAAAAGTTCTGTTACAAAACTTACCTTTGTATTTAATTTTGAAAAATATTTATGCAAGGACAAAAGATTGTTTAGATAGTACAGTTTTTATTTGTTTGGTACTATTGGACCACTAGATTTAAAAATAAAAATTTTCGAAAAAATTGTTAAAAAAATTTTTTGGGATTTTTAAAGTTTTAATTTATTTGAAACCCAAAATTGTCATTTTAAACTTTAAAATTTTAAAACGTTTTAAATTTTAAAAAATTTGTTTTATATTTTAAAATCTTCAGAAAACCGCCAGCTCCACAGCTGTCTCGAATGCAACGAGCCAATCCGAGATCGATTTCTGTTCAAGGTTTTGGAGAATTCTTATCACGAAACCTGTTTGAAGTGCGCCGACTGTCAAATCAGCTTTCAGCACAGTTGCTACGCCAGGAACGGTCGGATTTTCTGCCGACAACACTTTTTTCGGTAAGGTTTTGAAAAGAGTGGTTTTTGGGGATCTGTAGAGAATCTTATTGTTGTTTTTCGTATTGTCAAGAAAGTTCTTGCGATTCTATGTTTTGTAAAGAAAGTTTTTGCCATTTTAAGTTTTGTAAGGGCAGTTCTTGCCATTTTATGCTTTCTATAGAAAGTTCTTGCCATTTTGGGTATTAAAACCGAAAATCGCAAGGAATTTCTTTACAAACTAAAAAAATAGAAAGGACTCATTTAACAGTATAGTTTACTTTATATTTTTTTGTCTTGTAAAGAAAGTTACTGCCATTTATTGTCTTGTAAACGAAGTTTTTGTCATTTTAAGTTTTTTAAAGAAAGTTCTTGCCATTCCTTGTCTTGTAAAGAAAGTTCTTGCCATTCTAAGTTTCAGGAAGAAAGTTATTGCCATTTTTTGTGTTTTAAAGAAAGTTCTTGCCATTTTACAGTCTACGAAAAAAATGTTTTGTTGTCAAAATACCTTGATTTACACGCCATAAAAACAAAAAGACTTTTTTTTGTCTTTAAAATTGTATAAATTTTAAAATTGAAAAACAATATTTTCAGACGATTCGGGCCGAAGTGTTCGAAATGCCATGAGCTAATCCAAGAGCACGATTTGATTCGAAAAGCGAACAGTCACGTCTATCACGCTGACTGCTTCAAGTGTGTGGTGTGCGAGAACGAACTGAATACGGGCGAACAATTCTACCTCATCCCCATGGACGGGAGGCTGGTCTGCCGCACCGACTACGAAAATTCCAACAAAGGTGGGTGACTTTAGTTTTTGGGGATTATATTGTGATGTTATGGATGATACGGTAGTTTTAAAGAACGTTAAAGTAGTAAGAAGATAGAAATACTGTAATATGTTTGGAATGTACTGTAGTTTTAAAGCTTGTATAGCGGTGAACTGTAATGTTTTGAAAGATACATTAGTTTCAGAATTTGCATAAGGCATACGGTAATGTCCTGGAAGATACTGTAGTTTGTTAAGGGTTGGACGGGTTTATACTGTAATATATTTAAAATTACGGTAGTTTTGAAGTTTGGACATGGGCGTACCGTAGTTTCTTGAATATTACTGTAGGTTTTGAATGGGGTATGGTTTTACGGTAAAACATTGCCGCGTATTGTATTTTGAAGATAGGAGGAGTTGCAAGGATACTGTAACTTTTTCTCTGGGTATAAGCCTTAAGGTACAGTAAGACTAGTACGGCTAAAGCAAGACTACGGTATAGTTACGGTATGATAGAGTAAGGTAGGTTGGGGAAGGGTAGGGTAAGGTAGGGTAGTGCAGGTTAGAGTAATGTAAAATGCGGTACGATATTCAAAACTTTTTTGTATACGATAACGGATCTTACAACAGTAGTAATACATGCGCTCTTACCAAAAGTACATTGTTATTGGCGTTTACACGAAAGCCCGGGGGGTATTTTCGGTGTTTAGGTGGGCAGAAACGCCGCAAAAACTTTCTTTCCGCTTGCGCAGGTTGAAATATTTTGTAAAAATTTTTAATAATTGGCATTTGAAGGAACTTTCTTTACAAAGTTAAAAAATTTTTAAGTTTGAAAAACGAAGAAACTTTATTTCCAAAAGTTAAATTTTTTAAAAATGCAAAAACTTTATTTACAGCAGCTACAAATGATTTTTTCAAAAATTTTTTTGAAAGTGAAGAAATTTTCTTTCCACTTTTGAAAACTAGTGGTCATTCTCCTTGCAATTACTGATCCCCCTCACCACCATTTTCCCCTAATACCCACTGTTACAAATGGCAAAGCCGGCTTACGGTGGAACGTTTTTGTTTCTTTTCATCCGCCTCCACGAACAGCACGGCCAGTGGGGGGATTATCTCCCTCGTTCTTCACATCCGGAAGCCTGCATCATAATCCCCGGCGGGGATAATCTTATCTTGGGTTGGGTGTTAAGGGGGGGGGGAGGGTTCACCTTACCAGAAAGTTTTTTTTGTAGTTTGGAATTGGTCCTTTGTTGATTAATTTAAAAGAAAATGGTATCACTGTAGACTTACAAGGAAAGTACCCTACCTGCCCCGCTCAGAATCAGCTCAAAATTTTTATACAAAGTTCTTGTACTACCAATAGTGCCCATACAAAATTTTAGCTCGCGCTTTCGAGTTTTAAATTTAAGTTATTTGCGTTTCCCGCCAATTTGGCAAATTTGGCATTGTGTTTCAAGCACTTTTTTGGCTTTCCAGACAAGATACGCTTAAAAATTTAAAAATATGGGTTTATTTAAAGGTTGTCTACTAGTATATTCAAGAAAAATTCTTAAAATTCAAAAAATGGCAAAGTTATAAGCCAATTTGGCGGGAAATTCAAAACGTAAATTTTTGATTTCGGTTTTCTCGAAATTTTCTGGAAAGTGCGATTTAGTACTTTACTGAATATCTTATATTTACATGATCTTTCTGTATAAAAAGTTTGAAGTCAATCAGAGCGGGGCAGGCCGGGTACTTTCCTTCTAATTATAATCTCTATTCTGACGGTTCGTCTCTTCTTTCTTGTTTTACTTTCTTACTATCTGAAACTGTATTAGCACGCAGTTGTTCATATTAATAATATTTCTGTAAAATGACAATGTCTTTTTGTCATTATTTTATCACAAATAGATATTTGTTTTGATAAATCGTAATACGGGGAAACTCGTATATAACGAATCGCTCGGGGCTTTAAAGTTTGTTCGTTATACTGGAGTTCTACTGTAGTTATTTTTTTTTGTACATGGTAATGTTTTGCAACAGAATTTTTTGCGCACCTTGTAAAATTCTTTTGTAAAGTACGTTCTGGATGTTTTTTCTTTGATTAACATTTTTATAAAAGTTGCCTTATTGCCACTTTATTTTTGCTCATCTTCTACCACTTTTTCTATTTTCACTTCTCTTTACTTAACCTTCCATCTATCCCCAACCCTCTGCTCCTCGTTGAAAAGTCGAAAAACGGGGTGTTTTTTTCGAAATTTTCGCACGAACTTTGAAAATTTTATCCAAGTTTAATGCCTCAGATGGATTAATTGCGTGCAACGGTCGACAGGGAAAAAGTTTGGGGGCCGGATACGGCCAAAACCACATGGCGGATTACCTGCGGCCGCTAATCCCCACCAGTTTTTCACCAAATTTCTTAAGCCAAAACATAAAGTGACGCGAACGCAAAAACTTTGTTTACACCGGAAATTGTGTCACAGCGGTTTGGAAATGGGCTAAAATGCTATGTCATAGGTTGAGAAATGGGCTAGAAACTTTGGCTGTGGTAAAATTTGGAAATGTTTCGAGGATTGGGAAAAGGAAGTTGATTTTGAGAATGACAGAGTATGTGTAATATCAGCTGAAAAATATATTAAAAGTGGCGGGAAAATGAAATTTTAAAGTGTTTGTAAGCGGAGGATGAAATTTAAAAATAAATTTTAAGTAAGTGGTTAACAAAACGCCCTGGAAAGAAAATTGTTGCCATAAAATCATATATTAAACCGTAAAGAAAGTTATTGCTGTGAAAATTCAGAAATTTCTCGGTAAAAGGTTCAAGGTTGCTTAACGTTATGATAGTATGACATAGTCTTAAAAAACGGTGGGTTAGGGTATGGTGGAATACAGTAGGATAAAATATAATAGGTTTGTGTAAGGCAGGACGGGATTGGATAGGACAGCACAAGATATAGTAGGGTAGGGTACGACAGGACAGAACACTATAGAATAGGATAGGGCAGGAGGGGAGGGCAAGGCAAGGCAAGGCAAGGCAAGACAAGACAAGACAGGGTAGGGTAGGACAGCAGAAGGTAGGATAGAACAGGGCAAGGCAAAACAGCTTAGAGCATGACAGGGCCGGACAAGACAAGGCAAACTAAGACCGGTTAGAATAGAGTAATACAAGGAAGGCAAGTCAACACATGGCAGGGTTATTTTGTCTACCACGCCTCTTTCTTTGCTTGAACCTCAGTTGGTTTTGTTATCTATCCTCCCCGCCTCTTCATTTTACCCGTACTGTTATCATATCCTACCTGTAGAACTCTATGTGGATCATCGAGTTCTTATTTTAATCATAGAGTTCCATCTGGTTTAGCAAATATATTAAAACAGTATTTCCAGTACCACATGGTGCTTATAATCCGCTCACTGACCCTTCTTTGTTATGCGTTATACCTATTGTTGCAAATTGAAAGCAAAAAACAGTGGATTTGGGGCCAAATCCAACACAAATCTCCCCCTCATTTTTTGCCATGCCTCTCTGCTTCTTTATCTTTATCTTCTTCCTCCTTCTTACTTGTTTATCCTTTACCCCGTATCATGTACCCCCCCCCCCCCCTCCCCCTTAAACACCTGTAAAGACAAAACATTGCTGGTTGCGGATGTAAAAGTTGAAGGGGATTAGGAAGCCGGAAAAAAGGATTAGCACGTGCTCTGTGTTGGTGCTGAATCCCAGCACCACGCATCCAAATAACAGATTAGTGTCTACCGTACGCACAGTAAAACGTTTTTTATGTTGTGCAGGGTTTTGAACTAGGTTCTGAGGGTTTGAACTTGATTATAGGAGTTTATAGTTGGGTCATGCTAAACTGTGATATACTTTATTGAGTATATTATACTATAGTATATTATATCATAGACGCCTATATCAAGATAAGCTTTATTGAATACATTGTACTATAGTAAGGCTGTTTTATGATGCAGTAGATCAGTAGAAGATTTTTAAGTTTACAGTAACTTTTCACTGCGTATTCAGTAGCTTCTTGTTAAAAGCCACACCAAGAGACAGTCATTTTGTTTTTACTATAGCTAGAGTTAGCTTTATTAACCGTTTTTTACATTCAACTAGGGTACCTGAGACTAGATCGTTTGTCAAATATAACAAGTGTCTTCTTGTATCAATATTGCAGATAATGTGATATAAGAAGACTCTTATTATAGTCAACAAACGATTTAGTCGCAGTAACTCTCTTTGAATGTAAAAAACGGTTAATAAAGCTAACTCTAGCTATAGTAAAAACAAAATGACTGTCTCTTGGTGTTGTTTATAACAAGAATACTCAGTAAAAATCTGTACCTTTTGAGTTTTCAATTTGAATTTGATTTATGTTCAGGAAGGCTCTACTTTTATATTAATACTACGCTAAGAGTAGCTCTACTATGAAATAAATAGATATAAAGTGGTTGTTCGTTTGAAGTTCCTGATGATAGGGGCTTATTTTATGTTTGATATTGGACTGGTCTTTAGGATGTTATCGTAGATTCTTGATTTAGTTGTCGATTTATCGTAGGCACAGGCGTCATTTTTTTATAGTCTCATGATATAGGCAGCGACAAGAGCCTGGGATTTATTGTTTACTATAGCTAGAGTTGCCTTAATCGGCTGTTTTTTACATTCAAATAGGGTTGCTGGGGCTAGATCGTCTATTGCAATATTGTAATAGGACTAGGCTAGGATCAGGGTCAGGACTAGGGATGTGGATAAGACTGGGGATAAAGCGGGTCAGGGCCAGAGCCAGACCTAAAGCTAGGGCTAGTGATAAAGCTAGGGAAAAGCTAGGGCTAGTGATAAAGCTAAGGAATAGGGCTAGGGCTAGTGATAAGGCTAGGGCTAAGAAAGAGTTTTATAGTCGCTTAACCTTTGATTTTATATTTTTTTAAAATGAGTTTTTACTGTAAACTAAGTTTTTGCAGTGTTCAAGTCAAACTCTTTCCAAGCTTTCCTATATGTAGAACGCCTAAGCCTAACCTTAACGCCAACCTTTACCCAAATGATGACTTTTTGACCTTTTAAGCTCTCCATGCTCACTAATCCCATTCAAATCCTACAGTTTCATATCGGATATCAGTTTTTATCCGAAAAAAAAGTTTACACTTTAATTCTCACGCCCTTTCCCACCTCCCGGCCCCCACCCCCTTCGGCTTGCACGGTGTTGTCCCCGTGGCGAGCGATGCGGGGCTTCTTCCCGCCCTCAGGCCAAGTATTTAAGAAGGCCGGTCGAGTAGGTTACCATTCGGCGTTCTACATTCACTTCTCGGCCGCCGATATATCCGCCGGATTAAAATTATTCGTTTCGCCATAACTTTTTACTTTTACGTTTATGGAGGGTAATACTGGGTGTGGCAATGGGGGTTTCGGGATGGTATGGTGGGTTATAGGAGTTTTAAGGGGGTTTTGAGGGTGGTAAGAGAGTTTGAGAGGTGGTAGCTGGCTTTGAAGGATTGTAAGGTTACTTACAGAAGCGGTAAGGGAGTTTGAGGGATGGTAAGCGGGTTTTAGGGGGTAGTAATGAAGTTGAAGGGGGTGGGGCGGTAAGGCTGTTTAGGGGGTGGAGTAATAAGCGTTTTCAGGGGGCAATAAGATGACTTGCAGGAGGGGTAATTGTAAGTATTACCTTGTTCAAATAATTCTGTGCTCTATTTAAAAACAAATTTGTGTTTAGGGGGCACAGAATTATTTGAACAACTTAATAAGCTATATTTTTGGGTTTTGAAGCTGATTTTTTGGCTTTTTTATAAGTTTTGAGCCATTTTTGGTATATTATAGTAGTTGTCTTTAGTGTGAAAGATAGCTGAGGGCTTTTTCTTTATGTTATACTAGGTTAGTGGATCTTACTTTAGGTATAAAGAGTTTAAAAGACCTTATTGTAAGCCAAAACATTATTTTAAACCCTGAACATTTTCTTTGAAAGCTCAGAGTTATTTAAACAAACGAATATTACTTTTTTTAGTCTTGTTTTTTAATTTTTGTAGTTTTCAAAGGAAAAAGAAAGTAAAAACTTGTGTTTTCTAATATTATCCATGATAACAAAGCCATGAAATTCAAAAACTTTGTTTTTGATTAAAGTCTGTGCCAAACTTTGAAATTTTACCAAGTTTTGAACTTGTTTTGCGGTTTTCAAGCTCTTGTTTTACAAATTCACTGTAGCATTTAGAGTTTACAAGGTTAATGAGCAATATCTTTAGTCAAAACAGGTGAAGTTTTTTATACCTGACTTTAAAAAAATTTTTTTTTGTGTATTTGTGAGTTGGTTTAGGTCAGTTTTTCCTAATATCTTAGTGTGGACTATAGGTTTTTTAATTTTTTAAAATTTTCAGAGCGTTGACTTAGGCTTATTTTTCAATTTTTGATTAGAAATCAACCGAATTTGGCATTTTAAACTAGGTTCTTGTGATTTTTCTGACCTTGTTGTTACTGAAATTGCTTTAAAATATGTTACTCGTGTGATAAATTTGAAAAATTACTATTTCTTAACTATTTATTAACCAACCAATCTTTTCAGAATCAGAAATGGACAATTCAAACAAACGACCTCGCACCACAATCTCAGCCAAATCCCTGGAAACCCTAAAACAAGCCTATCAAGCCAGCTCGAAACCAGCCCGACACATCCGCGAACAGCTAGCCGCCGAAACCGGCCTAGACATGCGCGTAGTCCAAGTCTGGTTCCAAAACCGACGAGCCAAAGAAAAACGACTAAAAAAGGACGCGAACCGCCGCTGGCCCGGCACAGCCAACTGCTCCAGCCAACAACTCTTCAGCCGAACCATCGACAGTGACAGCGGGTCTAACGACGAGTCGCTAATCAGCCGCAGCCCCCTCTACGGATCAGCCGGCTTCATGGAGAACTCCTCGGACCTAGACATCCACCCCAACGACCTACAATACGACTGTCAACCCACCCCCACCGCCTGGACACCCCTCTCGCGGTTCCCCAGCGAAGACCACCCCTACATGAATATTGACCCCCAACTCATCATGCCCCACGTACCCGTACCCCACGACCACAACATGTACGGCGACATTAGCCCCATCACCATGCCCCACATGCTTAACATGCAACAACAATGCACCCCTCACCACACCCAACTCCCACCCATGCCCCACCACATGATGCCTCAGCCCATAGGAATGCCCCTACTCACATTAATGTATATTATTATATTTTCTACTGTAATAAATGCTAGCATAATTTAAAAAACTTGGTTTTTTGAGGTTTCGATAATTTTTTGAAGTTTAAATTAGTTTTACAAATTTTTATAGTTAAAATAGTGATTTAAATTTTAAATTAAATTTCAATTCTTAAAAATTTTTTTAAATATTTTTAACTCATCATAACTTAATTATTTATTATAATGTTCAAAATTTTATTATTTATAAACAGTCCTCAATGTATCCTTAACATTTCCTGAAATTTTTATCTTGATCCATCGACCCGTTCAAAAGATATAAAACATTATATTTTACCTCCTCTGTCTTCACTAGCGTCTCCTCTTTCCTTTTCTCTCTCGCGCATTTCCTTTCTCTTCTTTATCACTCTCTGTGACCACTCTCTTCTTTTCCCGCGCTCTCTCTTTGCGTCACCCCTTTGATCAAGCCGCTCTCTACCTGCTCTCCATTTTTTACGCGCTCTCTCTTTCTCTTCTCCCATTTTTGTCTAATCAAATCATTCTCTAACCTAAAAAATCGTCTCCCGATTTTATTCACTCTCTTATTTTTTGTCTGATCGAGACTTCTCTGTCACTCTCTTCATTTCACACAATGGGTTCCTCCAAAATTTCCTTTTTCGGGTTCCATCCTCTTTTCGTGTTCACTTTTCTTTCTCTGACTCAGCCGTCTCTCACTTTTATACAGTCTTTTTTCCGAACCCCGTGAAAAAGGCCAAAAATGGCTCAATACTTATTGAACAAATTTCTCTAAAAATCGCTAAAAACGAGAAAATTTGCCGAAAAAACGTCGAAATTTTGTGGTTTTTGGCTCCAAAAGTACCATTAATGACAGAGTTCAACATTGGTTTATATACCATAGTAAAGCTTGGTATCTTGCACACATTTTGAGCTACATTACTTGTTTTATCTACTACGGTAACATAGAGATACGTAGTTTCAAAGACACAACAGTCAAGTGGTCACGACTTTATAGGTACTTTTCGACCGGTCGATGATGATGAAAATGTAAAATACGATCATATTATCGTATTTCATGGTATTCTCCAGAGAGCACTTCCAGGAATTTTTAAAATTTTGAGTTTAACATGGTAAAATACGACACTAAAGTTTATATGTACATCTTTGACCGTGCATACTTTAAAGCGCCATAAGTTACTTCACAGTAACGTCTCCTTATAGCGACACATACTATAATGTAGAAAATAACCTACAGTATCATAGTACAAAAAATATATTTCTTACACTATCAAGATACGATGGTTATGACATGATAAATTTGTACTAGATTTCGAGGCATTTTCTCGGGAAAGCAGTGAATATATCTACTTTAAAGCGTCATAACTTACTTCACAGTAACGTCTCATACTAAAAAATCCACCATGTAGAGAATGAACTGCTTTATCATATTGTATCGAAAAATCTTTACTTTTACTATGTCAATATAACCATTCGAAGACAGCCACATAACGAGAGGTCAACCAACATAACATGTCATACAACTGTCGTATCTTAGCATACTAAAACAAAATGTTTCCTAGTTTTACAGATTATGTTTAGCACTACACGACGGTATGTTTGGGTATAAGAAGACGACATTTTAAAATAAGTTATGATTAATCAAAATTGGCACACCTTGTGTTGTATTAATAATACGTGTTTTTCCTCTTTAACGTACCATAACTGTCGTATATTAAGTTAGTAAAAAACAACAATAACATATTATGATACTGCAGCTTTTTATCTACCTGATAATATGTTCCGCCATTAGGAGACGTTACTGTAAAGTAAGTTATGGACGTTTAAATACTAACATATTCATTGCTTTTCCCAGAAAATGCCTCGAAATCCAGTACAACTTTATCACGTCATAACCATTGTATCTTGACAATGTAAGAAATTACCGTTCTATATTATGGTACGGTACTTCATTCTCTACATTACAATATGTTTCGCTATAAGGAGACGTTACTGTGAAGTAAGTTATGACACTTTGAAATATGCACGGTCAAAGATGTACAATAAACTTTACTGCAGTATTTTACCATGTTAAACTCAACATTTTAAAAATTGCTGGAAGTGCTCTCTGGAGAATACCATGAAATACGATAATATGATCGTATTTTACATTTTCATCATCATCGACCGGTCGAAAAGTACAGGTAAAGTCGTGATCACCTAACTGTGTTGTGTTTAAAGCGTCGTATCTCTATGTTAGCGTAGTAGGAAAAAAAAGTAATATAGCTCAAAATGTGCGCAAGATACTAAGCTTTGCTATGGTATACGAACCAAGATTATACTCCACCATTAATGGTACTTTTAAAGCCAAAAACTACGAAATTTTGACCTTTTTTCAACAAAATTTTCTCGTTTTTCAACGATTTTTTGAGGAATTTGTTCAAAAAGTATCGAGCCATTTTTGGCCTTTTCCACGAGGTTCGGAAAAAAGACTGTATAAAAGCGAGAGACGGCCGAGTTAGAGAAAGAAAAGTGAACGCAAAAAGAGGATGGAACCCGAAAAAGAAAATTTTGGAGGAACCCATTGTGTAAAATGATGAGAGTGGCAGAGAAGTCTCGATCAGACAAAAAATAAGAGAGTGAATAAAGATGAGAGACGATTTTTTAAGTTAGACAATGATTTGATCAGACAAAAAATCGAAGAAGAGAAAGAGAGAGCGCGTAAAAAATGGAGTGCGGGTAGAGAGCGGCTTGATCAAAGGGGTGACGCAAAGAGAGAGCGCAGGAAAAGAAGAGAGTGGTCACAGAGAGTGATAAAGAAGAGAAAGGAAATGCGCGAGAGAGAAAAGGAAAGAGGAGACGCTAGTGAAGACAGAGGAGGTAAAATATAATGTTTTATATCTTTTGAACGGGTCGATGGATCAAGATGAAAATTTCCGGAAATGTTGAAAATACATTGAGGATTCTTTATAAATAATAAAATATACAATAATATAATTTAAAATTGAGTTATCGTAAATAAAAAATAGAACAAAAAATTTTTAAATTTAAGTTTATTGTAACTTCAGAACCTACAAAAAGGTATGACACTTGTTATTCAGAATAATACTTTAATAATTTGCAATACAAATCTTGTTATTCATCCAATTCCTCCAGTACAATGTTGTTTTTGTCGTGCAGAAGCCTGGAAGTCTAAAATACGAAACCAAAGTCACATGGCGGGTAAGGTGCGTGCCAATTCGTGTGAAAAGTGCTGTCTGGTTGAGGAATGTACAAATGCGCCAACTATTTGTTTGTATATTACAATTCGCGGCGGAGATCTTTGAATATTATTGTAGTTTACACGAACAAACAATGACTGTGTTTGGTGGAAGGGCTACTGATCTTCGAAATTAAGGAGATTTTCGATATTTATGGTAAGTACAATAAAAAAAATTGTCATTTTTTTAAATTTCGACGTGTTTTTGAACGTATTTTCGTAAGTAAAACATGAAAAGTGACTTTTTTCCTAATTTCAATTACATTTTTAAAACATTTTCATACCTAAAATAACTACAAAACGTCATTTCTTAAAGATTCAACTCATTTTGTTGTTATTTTAATACCTAAACTAACTCAAAAATCGTAATTCTCGAAGTTTTCACAGATAAAGTTGTGACTGCCTGACTATGTTATGTTTGAAGTGTCGTATCTCTATGTTACCCTTGTAAATAAAACATGCTATGTAGTTCAAAATATGTGCAAGATACCAAGCTTTACTACGATAAATAAACCAAGATTGAACTGCGCCACTAATGGTGCTTTTAGAGTCAAAAACCACAAAACTTCGACGTTTTTTTCGACAAAATTTAGCGTTTTTCAGAAATTTTTTTAAAGAAAATTGTTCATCAAGTTTTGAGCTATTTTGACTTAAAGTAACTAAAAAAACGTTATTTTCCAAATATTTTATTACCTAAAATACTTAAAAAACGTTATATTTCAAATTTTAAGTACACTTTAAAAATATTTTGATACCTAAACTAGCAAAAAACACATTTTTTCTATATTTTCCATAGTAAAAAACATAAAATTTATATATAAAACAAGTTTACTAACAAACAACAAAAAAATTTTAACAATATTCCTAATTAAGAAGGCATCTTTACCCTTTCCTAGCTCTCAAACCCTTAAAATACTTCAAATTCCTCCAGCAATCTAAAGTTTGTTGCCTTCCGTCTCCTTCTTTCCCATGATCAATCGCCTCATATCGAACTTCCTGACATTGGTCGTCATGTAGGCGTACTCCATCGCCTTTTCCGAGTACAATTTGCCAGCGGCGATGCCCATTTGAGCTCCGTAGTTGGCAAATCCGGCCATTGTGAAGAAGTTCTTGAATTGTAGATGTTCACCAATGATCGGGGCATCATCGAACGTGTTCACGTCTTCATGACACGCCCACGCATTCATTACTGTCGCGTTCTTGAAGGTAGGTACACGATGGCAAAGGACTGGCCATACGTTTTTGTAAAAGTAGTCGTAATCAACGGTCAGGTCGGAATGGTCGGTCAGTGCGTCTTCTTCCTGAAATGACATGGTTAATATTGAGATAGAAATGAGTAAAGAAAAGGAGAAAGGGGAGGGGGAAGAGAAAAACAAAAAAAAATCAAAAATAAAGCAGCAGCCAAATTTTTAGTCAAATTTGAAAAAAAAATTTATCCACCCCCTAAGAAAAAAATACCCCGCCCAAAAAATTTTTTTTCAAAAAGCGAAAAATAGCCCACTGTCATTTTTTAACAACAAAATTTTTTTTACACTCTGTCCCACCCCTCCGTGCCAAAATACCCCACCCGGCAATAATTCTAACTTTGCTTTAAAATCAAAAAAAAACAAGCCTTTGCAAAAACACCCCCAAACATAAAAAACAACCCCAAAAACCACCCTTAAAACCTTACCCTGCTCAATAAACACCCCTAAAATCAACCCTTAAAACCTTACCCTGCTCGGTTTCCTGCCACATATAAACGAATATCCTGGCTCAAACGGCCGACAAAATACGCCAGATGGATCCTTAAGAGCCGGCATCTCCAAAGCCGGCACGTCTGGTGCATGTACCACAAAGTATTGACGTTTCCTCGCAACTATAGGTATTGGTACAGCTAGAGCACCTTCTCCTTTGCCTATGCCAGCCATTTCCGCGACTTGACCAGCCCATGGTCCGGCCGCATTGACACACTGATAGAAGCTGATTGGTCGTGAGGAAGCACCGGTCATTTTGGGTTGTACCACAATACTCCTCATCATTTTTCGTTTGTGCATGAGATCGTCAGCTTCATCTGTTAGGCCTTGAGGTGGGTTATATAGGTCGAGTTGGCGGTAGACAAAGTCATCAACTCGACCTTGATGGTAGTCTACACCTAGGGTAATATTCTTCTCTCTTAGGGCTCCTAGAAGTTGAACTGGGTCAAAGAAGCCTTCATTCTCGAGGCCATATGTAGCTGCTACGACACCGTCAAAGTTCATGAATAGGAATTTTTGCTCTGCTTCGTTCTTGTTGTAGAAGGCAACTTTGGCTCCTTTTGAACTGAAATTTAGGTAATATACTAATGTAACTTATAAAATTAGGCTTGATGACCCTTGCCAATAATAATTACCGTCATTCCAAACAATTTTAAGACATTTTTCTTATCAAAAAACCTCAAATTCGGCCCAAAAACAAACTTTTCAGACCAAAAACATCATTTTTCCCCAAAATTTTGGCAAAAACTTCATTTATAAAAACTCATATCACTCACATTTGCATTTTCCAAGACTCCTTAAGCCTATCTGCATCTTCTTCAGTCATAGCCAAGTGCATGAATCCACATGGATAAAAGGAAATATTTGGTTTCTCGGAATCTACAACAATATGTTAGTTTGTTCTACCTCAATATCTCTTACATTTTTAAAGCTAAAATAAAAAAACAGAATATATTATGGCTAAAAGAGGAAGCGCGTATTTTACCTAAAACTCGAAGATGATCTCCAGCATGTCGCATGAATTCGGCCGAAAACATGGCCATTTCCACTAATTCTGGTTGATCAAACTGTTGTGTCACTTCACCACATGACAATATCGACCTGGTGTTGGCAAACTAAATTTCTAATCGCAAGTTAAAATATAAAACTCACCCTATCCGGATCCTCAATCACAGAAACACTCAAATCTTCATCCCTAAACCACTGTTTTATCCAAAATGCAGCTGCTGATCCACTCAAACCACCTCCAATTATCACAAAATCAGATCGATACGGCAGTAACTCATAATTCTGAATCTTTGACTTAGCATGAGCTATCGGATGACGACGTTGGAAAGCGTCATTTCTGGCCTGAAAAAGTATAAGATCAGTTTCAAGCTTAAAAGCTATTATCATATATAGAATGCAAAATACTAATTTTTAGGCAAATTTCTTTTTTAGAGATCTAAAATTCCCTTTTTGCTAAATATTAAAAAATCTTAAAACATAAATAAACATTTGTCTAACACAACATCATTTATATCTTTTCAAGTTTAAATATTTTTAACAAAAATTGTATGTTAAAACATAACCATTTTTATGCTCAAACACCTTCAAGAACATTATAAAGATTCGACTTGACATTCATAAAGATATAAACCATTTTGTTACACTGCCTATAAAAGCTGTTGCCTAACACAATATTGCTCGTATCTTTCTGAATTCAAAGTCACAAAATGCAAAGTCGTTTACAAACAATGCCAATTTTATAAGTAAGCTTTTGTTAAAAAAATGACTACAATTTAAAACCGTCTTCATGAGATATAAGCCATTTTCCTTCACTATCCAACATATCTACCTAAAATCAAAAAAACCAAATAAAAGCATACTTCTCTGAACCTTCGTTTCGACCTTCTATAATCATAAGTTAAACCATGCCAGGTACGATTCAATACATCTTCACCAGGTTCGTAATAACGTTCATTCTCGTATTCTCGCCATCTGTTCACGACTGTTGACTGTATTCCACGGACAAGTTGAAGTTTTAATGTTGAATCGGTAACTATCCGTTGAATTACCGCATTTTTAGCTAACATTAGCCTAAAACAACTTTAAGTACTCTAAATAAAGGTAGAATTACAAGAAATTATAAAAATCCACCAATTTTTCTAAAATAATGTCAAGTTTCGCCTTTTCGCGTCAAGTCTCACTCTTTCATAAAAAAAACAGCTACAGCCTGCGAGTCCCACTTTATACGAAAGAAAATTCGCCCTTCCTACGCAAAACAAAATAAATCATAAAACCGTTTTGCGAAACCGATAAAATATGCCTTCTGGCTTCACGTTTTGTCCCGATTCTTAAATTCCTGATACGTGCAACACAGATTTTACGACGGATATTATTCATGGCTCATAAATATTGATAATGCCACAAAACATTATAATTTGAATGCTTTCTTCCGTTCTTATAGTTATAGCCTGACTGCAAATCGTCTATTCTTTGCAACATGAGGCTATATCTTCAGTTTTTCGCGGTATTTTTGATTTTATTCGTTGTTGTGTTGGAGGCTGAGCGAGCGAACAAAGAAGGGCCAAAAAGTAAGGTTAATGTGGTTGAATTGATTTGAAATCTTAAGTGGAGTTAGAGGAGATATTGAACTTTGAAATGGGCATAAATTTGAAAAGTTATCTATTGCATTTCATTTTCCTTTATCTTGTTTCTTCTTTGAACTATTATATTATAGTAGGTGGCAGATAAACCATCGAAACGTTATGTTAATGTGCTCGTATTTTCATGATCATTTGGGCTAATGTAGGGAAGAGAATCAGCTTTCAAATGAGTATAAATACGAAACGTTAGCTTTACTTTATCATGGCCATTTGGCCTGTTCTCTTCACATATGCTATAATATTCATAGTGGGTTTGAATGAAAAATTCAAAAAGTGCAGTAATTGCCATCAGATCTTTATATTTTAGGTAGTTATAGAGTAGATAATAAGCTTTAAAATAACCATAACCACAAGTACTCAAACGTAGACCCATCTTTTGTAGGAGACAAACAAGTTCCAGGAAACCGGCCGAATCGCCATCACAAAAACGAGCAAAAAGAGCACAAGCATCAGCCAAATAAAAAGCTAGAAAATAAGCCACTACCAGCTCCGCAACGACCTGTCAGACCATACCCACAAAAGGTTCAACAACAGGGTCCGGGTCAAAACGAGCTGCCACCGGTTGACGGCCAACAACCTCGATATCAAGCTGAAGAGACGGAGGAGGGCGACATTCGAGTGAGTGTGGTGTTGAAGCAGAAGAAGAAGAAGAAGACATTGACTGAAAACTGATAAAACTAGTTGATATTTGATTGGTTTTTGTAGTAAATGTGTTTATTGTGGCGTGGTTGAGTTTGTTACCTAAAATTTAAAAATTTTTGGCAGGTTAAGAAGTATAGGGGAAAAACTGGATTTTGAGCTAAATTTATGTAAAACAGGACCGTTAAAACAAGAAAAAGGCTAGTCCAAACAAGAAAAATGAAATTTTAGATAAGAAAAGGCTATTTTAGGTAACAAAACGTTAAAATGTTGCCAAATCCCCATCTCTTTTTAAACAAAAACAACTTCCATGCCCTTCAACATGACTTCAAAAGAAAAAACTCATCTACAGAATCAGAATCCTTCAAATCCCATGGTAATTGAAGTTCCACCACAATCAGTAACGTTTTACATTATCTAACAGTCATTTCCGCGAATCCTGACGTCAAATCCGAGTTGTTTAACAATATTTTTTGTGCAAACTTTGATGAATTTTCGAACCGTCGAAACGATCCCCCTGGGGACCGGATAAAGGTCGAAAAATAAAAATATTCGGCTGACTGTAAATAATAGAATAACATCATTTTGCTATAGTATGTGTGTATAGAATCATGGTATTTGGCTGTAGTACGCGTATTTGGTATTTGGCTAGGCATAGTATTTAGCTAGAGGGTATTTATAGAGCCATGGCATTTGCTAGTAGTAGGTGAATACAAACATGCCATTTCTAATACTATATATGTACAAAAAATGCCATTTCATACTAATATATACTCCAGAAAAGCCATTTTTTAATATAATAAAAATTTTAAAAATTTCGTATCTTTTAAACAAAGTTATTGCCGTTTTCCCCCAATTTTTGGTGATTTTGCCTCTGTAAATCTTATTTTTTCCTCTGTAAACTAAGTTTTTGCGCATTTTTCATACAAAGAAACATTTGCAAGCTTAATCCTGGACATTGTCACTTAATGAATCTCATTTTGAGGTCCATTTTTAGGTCAAAAACAACCTAATTTGTCACAAAAAACCAACAAAAACAATCATTTTTTGCTACTTTTCTGGCTTGATGTCTGAATTTGCTCGTTTTTTAATTTTTCTTGGTAAGATACTTTGTCAGAAGTAAAAACCATATCGTTAGTTAGCTTTTGCTCATTTAGTTTTTCTGATTTTGTTGTTGTAAAATACGAATATGAATGTAAAAAGCAGTATACTAAAGATGCCATTTTTAATCAATTATTGATTTTTTTCCCAAAAAAGAATGCCATTTTTAATTAAAACAAAAGAATATTGACATTCTTAAACCATTCCTTATTATAAAAACGCAAAAACATTCTTTCCACCCCCAATTTCAAACCGCAAAAACGATTCGATCAGGATGAGATTCGAACTCACGCGGGGAAACCCCAATGGATTAGCAGTCCATCGCCTTAACCACTCGGCCACCTGATCACATGCGCTCGGCGCTCTTTTCGCTCCATTTATAGGAAGGCAAGGTGCGTATTGGGATTATTAGTGATTTATTATGCTTATTTTGTATTCTTTAGATGTATTATTAGACATGTTGATGCATTTTGATATATTCTTGCTATTTTTGACATTTTTCTTGAATTTTTTTTTAAATTTTGCTTTTCGAATCTTGTTATTGAAGTATATAACATGTGAGAAATTAGAACACCAAAGAATAATTGCAAAACGCTTTTTTTCGCTAGCGGAATTTGATTAAAAATTTATGAAAGTCGCAAAGTTTATCTTTGGGTAATAACTTTGAGGGCCAAATTTGAACATAGGTTACGGTAATTTTTGGGTGGCACACTCATCAACGACCAAATTGCACGTAAATTGAATTAATTTTGTAAAAATCATTACTTTGCCTGGAAAGGTTAAGGCAAAAACTTTCTTGAAAAAATGGAAAAAGCAACAACTTTGTTTACAAAACATAAAATGGCAATATTTTTTTTCATATGACTTAAAATGGCAAGAACTCTTTCAAATCCACGAAAAAGCAAGAACTTTATTTACAAACAAGGAATAGCAAGAACGTTGTTTACAAACCTAGAAATGGCAAGAATTTTCCTTAAAAAGCATAAAACGGCAAGAACTTTCTTTACAAAACTAAACCTGGCAAGAACTTTCTTTACCAAATATAAAATAGCAAGAACTTTTTTTAAAAAACGTAAAACGGCAAGAACATTTTTTACAAAACATAAAGTCACAAGAACTTTTAATACAATACAAAAAAGGGCCCCAAAACCTACAACAATATCCTATTTTTGTGTATTTTTGGCTGTTAATCTTCAGAGCTTAATCCCAATTCAGATTAAGCGAATTGGGTCACTTGGGAATTTTTATTGACCAAAACCCTTTTCAAACACAACTACGTCAAATGGCATGAAAAAGTATGTTTCGTGAACTTGTCTGAAGCCAATAAACGACCTCGAGACTGGTCAATTAGGCTTGGTTTCGATTGATCGATTAGGCTTTATTTTAAGTGGTTTATTAAGCTTAATTATGAATTCAACTGTAATTTTTGAATAAAATTTAAGATTTTGTTTTAAATTTAAAAAATTAGCATAAGAACTTCCCTATAACAAATTTTGATGCCTCTATAACAAATGACCTACTACAATATAAATAAATGCTTTAAAGGTGACGAAAATTTATTTTAGGTAACATTTTGGTTAAGTAAACCGACGAATATTATTATATTTATCTCGCAACACTGTCGAGATTATCCGATAAACTTGTAGCATATGTATAGATACTGAAAGACGTTTTAGGTCATAGAGATCTTAAAGTATGACAACATCTGAGATTATTTTAGGGATACGGATCTAATGCTATTTTTAACAAGTTTTTGAAGAACTGGAAACAAAATTTCTGCAATTTAAAAATTTTTTCCATTTTATGTTTTGTTAAGAAAGTTTTTACCATTTCTTGCTTTGTAAAGAAAGTTATTGCTATTTTTGAATTTGTAAAGAAAGTTCTTGCGGTTTTTGATTTCGTAAAGAAAGTGTTTGCCATTTCAAGGTTTGTAAAAAAAGTCCTTGCCATTTCAAGTGTTGTAAAGAAAGTTATTGTAGTTTTTCAGTTTGTAAAGAAAGTTATGCCATTTTATGTTTTGTAAAGAAAGTTCTTGCTACTTTATGTTTTGTAAATAAACTTCTTGCTATTTTCTGTCCTCTGGAAGGAACAACAATGTCAACAATGACAATGTTAGTCGCAAAATGTTAAATTAACATTCGAAAAAAGCTGATAATTGGATTGAGGAAGCGATGACATAAACACAGTGTTTGGGATCATTCTTGTTTCTTTCCGGCCGAGCAACCCCCTACCACCCTCAACTACTGACGTGACTTTTGAACTCTCGAACATAATGTCAATTTTAATGTTGTAAACTCTCGTTATATTAGGTTGTTCAAATAATTATGTGCCCATAACCCCAAAAAGTTGGTTTGAGAGGGAGGGTAGGGTAAGATAAGGTAGGGTAGACAAGGGGAACGGGCCGGGCCTGCGCAAAATTTAGATTGAACCGGGCCTGGAAATCCCAAAAAAGCCCGGCCCAAAAAGCCCGGTCCGTTTCCACGAAAAACATTCGGGACGGTCCTGAAATGTGGGCACGGACAGCCCGTTCCCCATGTCTAGGGTAGGGTAGGGTAAAGTAGGGTAGATTAAAATAGGGTAGGTTAGGGTAGGGTAGGGTAGGGTAGAGTAGGGTAGGGTAGGGTAGGGCAGGGCAGGGTAGGGCAGGGTAGGGTAGGGTAGGGTAGGGTAGGATAGGGTAGGGTAGGGTAGGGTAGGGTAGGGTAGGGTAGGGTAGGGTAGGGTAGGGTAGGGTAGGGTAGGGTAGGGTAGGGTAGGGTAGGGTAGGGTAGGGTAGGGTAGGGTAGGGTAGGGTAGGGTAGGGTAGGGTAGGGTAGGGTAGGGTAGGGTAGGGTAGGGTAGGGTAGGGTAGGGTAAGGTATGGTATGATAAGTTAGAGTAAGGTATGGTAAGGTACGGTAGGATAAGAAATAGCAAGCTACGGTAGAGAAGATAGAGTTTAATATGCTAACGAAAGGTAGATTAGTAAAAGATAGGGACAATAGTCTTACCATGACCAAACTTTTATGACCCTCATAATTTTTACCATGACATCACGCACAAATCGAGTGATATGATTTATTTACTACAGTCATTTCACCAGTGTTAAAACCAAAAAATACATAAGAGACGAACTTTTTGGACTCGTTTTTGAGCCAAAAACTCGGTCAATTTACTTCCGGATTTAGCATCTTATCCCATGCGCGTCTAAAGAGTAATCTAGCCTAGTCTAATGTCTACTACAATGTAACTGGTATGACGAATCGCTCGGGGATTTGAAAGTTGTTTGTTAAACAGGGCTTTCGTTATAGAGGAGTTCATTATATAGGAGTTTTACTGTATTTTTTCTGTTTTTCTACTGTATATGGGGTATTACCATTACTTTTTTGTACTTTTACTGTAGTACAGTACTCTCTCTGTATAAGAAACCCGGAGGGACCAAAAATTTTGTGTTTACTATAAGGGGTGTTGTCTTTACAGAGAGGCTTGTTAGTGGAAATTGACTTGGCTGGGCCAAATTTCTTGTTTACTATAAGGAGAGTTGCTTATACAGATGGTTCACTATATAGAGAAACCACTGTAATAGCTGTTTTTCACTGTTTATTGCTCTTTTTACTGTAGTAATAGCCGTTTTCCTTTACTTTTTAATTGTTTTATACTGTATTTTTTCTAATTCTTTAAGTAAATTCTTGCCATTTCTTCTTTTGTTATGATAGTAAAGCCAAAATGATAGTGGTTAAAGTTTTCACTACCATTTTTCAATTCTTTCCACAGTAAAGATCCAACACGTATTTTACCCAGCCATTCCACCATATTACTATAAATACCACGCCGGCATTTTTTATTCGTTGTACATTTCCTCAACCCATTAAATTGGTTCCTTTTTCGGCGGGGTAAATTGATTAATTTGATTTCTGTATGCACATCCCTACTTAGCGGCCGCTTACTTTACT